TTCGAATGTAACATTTCATTGGTGCTTCCTTAAAACTACGAGAGAAAACGAGTAGAGACAGTCCGCTGGATCATCGAAATGATAAGAGTGAATAATAAGAGGGTGTAATGTCCGTAATCCGTAGACCGGGGAACGAATAAAATTATAACGCTATCAAATGTATTTACTCAACAAATGCAAGCCGCTGCTGCGTGAGCCGACGTGATATATGATACAAATTGGATGAGTCGAACATCGAAATTTCGTCCAAAGCAATCGAAACGTAGATCTGTTCATTTGTACAAAGTAGAATATCATTTTTTGTTTTCATCTATCAGCAAGAATACTATCGTCAGCAATGAAAGTAAACGATATACCCTAAGGAAAGATCTTTGATCATGATAGATAGAAGTACGCTACTATAATACTATATTCGTAAAGTGCAATACGTGCGCGGGAAACGGAAACTATAGATCTATGAATATGCAAGATAATATCCGAGTAAAAAGCAAAGATTCTTAATACTTTTCGATCGTTCGTTAGTTCACTTATTGATAAGGCGCCTAACTTAATGTGATTGGCAGCATTAATCTACTACTATTACTGTTATCTGCTACTTTTGTATCGAGTTTTGTTACTGTAAACCAGATAGTTGTGTGATAGTATCCTTGCTAATGTACATGTCGATCTATCGCTACAGGAAAGGGAAATTTGTACATCGTTTGTATAATGGTATGACTCAGTCTCGCCTGCGCCACGTGAATTTCGCCCTTTGACTAGACGTCTCCACAGCGACCGGTACTGGGTGTGAATATGGACACGCTGGTTTGGTGCAGAATGGATGATACTTGCACTGTTGGGCGGGATGAGAGAACACGCATCCTAGTTTTGTGCAAGACAAGCCAAATTTACATTTGGGATGTCTGTAAGCGCACTTGTCTCCGAACTTACACGCAGGGAACGCACTATAATGTAGGAAAAGATAAACAACAGTTAAAAAAGATTGACTGACGTGAACGAATAGTGAGAAATGGGAGAAATTAAATGTAATAATAACCTGCACATAACAAGGGGATGAAGATACGCGCACTTATTCCCTAATGTACAATTTGGCCAGTATCTACATTTTTCTTTTGACTTATCTATCACCGTTACCGTGTTCTCTGTTAATGGTTTTTTATCTAGACCTGGATGCAAAAAACAACTGTTGTAAAATTTATATTGCAACACTTTCATGTATAAATTAGTAAAATTATATTATTTACGTTTAGTTAATAATGGGGTCGTTAATAACGTGCTGGACTTTAAGTCCGTGGGGCTCGGTGAATGGGATCTATTATAAACAATCGGGCTTAGTCTTCTCCTTTTTTTCGGTATCTCATCGGTTTTCTCGACGTTTTCTGTATTGCAGTTTTCATTGTTCTCTTCCGTTCTATCTTTTACATTCATATCGCCTTCGGTTTCCATTTCCGTTACTTGAAAAACAGAAGCCTCCGACTCATTCTGAGCGTATACGTCATTTTGGATTGTTGATAGTGCAAGCTCATCCTCCTCATTTACCTGCAAGTTAATGATAGTACTAGAGAAAAAGAATCGGATGAAATTGATGGCTTAAATAGTTTGTTACTAAATACCTCCATTTCCAGTTGTTCATCGTCGTCAGACGTAGTCTTATCTTTCATTAAGTTGTTGTTATATCCGTTGAGTGTAACTAAAAATTTTTGGTTGTCGTCGCTCCTTTGAAATAAAGACATTACGACACCCATGTGCTCCTCGGTAACTGGTTGCGGTACATCTACAGACCGTACAATACTAAATATATTAGAGAAACAATTTTGAGTATTATACATACATGTCTCTCTCTCTCAAAAAGAAAGAAAGAAAGAAAGAAAAGAATACAATAATTATACTCACAAGATTTTGACTTCGATTCCGAAACATCTGTATTTAATTCTACTTGTATCTTTTCCATGACCAATCTTTTGTTGGAATTCAAATGTACAGATAAATTTTGACCCATGTCCCGTACAGCGGCTGATTTAAGATGCTTCAACGTCTGCTTCTTCTCTTGTGAAAATTTCTTAATGAAAAAGAAAAAAAAATATTATTGAATTAAAATATACAATGTCGAATTGATTTTTGGTAAATGACATTAATACTTATTACATTTTGTACACACCAGTAATGATGGCTCGGGATTCTTTTGCGTAACAACAGATTGATTTGCCTCTGCGACAGCTCTCAATAAAAGTGACTGTGTGGCGCGTTTTTGCGTTGGTTGCAATGGTTTCAGAGGTCTTGGCGTTACGATTACTTTACTGGGTATCTTGGCTTCTTCAACTTCCTCTTCCGCGTCGCTGCATTCTTTATTATTCTTTTCTAACAATTTCGTTCGTTTCCTTTCAGTCTTAGCTGGCGCAGGCTTATTTATAGCTATTATGTGAGACTTGATAGGTCCGACTGTACCTACAGATTGCGTCTCATCGTCTAATTCTTCTTCTGCACCTAGATTGAGGTAGTCGTCGTCCTCGCTACTTTGAGAGCGCCTGATCGACGAGTTAAAGCCACACTTCACGCTCGCTGGTTTGAAATTATTCTTCAATGGTCCCAATCTGTTCTTTATATTCTTATTGTTAGCCAGAGTGTCGCGATCTTGCTCCAAGAGCTTGCTCTTAAATTCTATAGAATCTTTATTCCCTAATTGTTTAGGCGATTTATTGGTACTTGCAATCCCCAAACGGTCTTTAATGGTACCCGTCGTTTTTTCTATCGGCTTTGCCTTTAAATTAGAATTCGCCTTTTCCCTTAACTCTAAATTTTTGGTAGCTTTCTCGACCTTGGAATTGCCCAGCCGAGTCTTTATATTGCTAACTTTATCAGGCTCATTGTGTTTCAATTCGATCTCGCGGTTCCTCTTCATACGATCCTCCGTATCGAAGATCCTACCCCGCGAAAAATTATTACTCCGATTGTCGGCCCGATGCTTCTCGAAGCGCTTCTCGTTTTGTCTGTAACGACTTTCAAAGTCAATTTTCTCTCGGTGGACTTCGAACTTTTTTCTGGACGACACGACGCCCAAACGATTTTTTACAGATACAACAGACGTGACTTTTGGTTTGTTAACGCAAGATTTCAATCTCTTCGCGTTATCCTCTATTGTGCCATCTTCGTCCTCTTCGATCTTTGACCTCTTCGCTTCATTCTGCTTCTTCTCCGAGCAGCCTTCCTTATAACTGTTTGCCGTATCCAGTGGTCTCTTCAAATTTCTAGATGATCCATCATCTATCTTTGTGTCGGTATGAGACTCTTTGGATTTGTTATTGGAAGAAGATTCCAAAGTTGAAACTTCTTTGTTTATTTCTTTTACATTCTGACTGTCGCTTACTTGTGTTCTTTTCGTCACAGATTGCTGGGGAACAGCATGATTCGATGCACCATCTGGCTTAACTTCATTACTGACATTTTTGACAGGCTTATCGACTACACTCTTACTTTGCGTAGTCTCTAATTTTTGATTGAACAAGGATACCTTTGCAGTTTGCTTGTGAAGTGATTTGTCATCCTTCACGCTTTTATTAGAAGGCTTCTCAACGGTTTGAGTGGCAGCTTGATCTTCCAAGAACGAAGTCGTTGATGTTTTCTTCTTTTTCCTTTCTTCTTCCTGCTTTACGACGACTGTCGGCACAAACTCTCTCAACGATCTTTTCTTGGCAACGGTAACCTTTTGCAGCTTTTTCAATACCTGATCGTGCAGCCAATCGACAAATGGTGTTGTGCAGTTCTCCAGAAACAGATACAGATCCTCGTGCATCTGCTGGCGAGACTTTTTATTTACAACCATCACCAAAATATAATCTGGCAGTTCCTCATCGTATCTTATCCCCAATTCCAATAATTTAGCACGAATGGCACTCTGAAAAAGAGAATGGTAATCTTTATTAACGACGTTTCTGATAAATATAAAAGTAGGAAAGACATGCGAATTTTTACAATTTCTTATTACTATTACTAGTTCTATTGTTTCTATTTGCAGTAATTCGTTGCTTCCCCCCCCTTTTTTTTTTTTTTCTCTATCCATCTATTTTCGCTTTATCGCGACTTTTTACATCTTACATTTGCATGAAATCTCTATGCAAATTGATCAATAAATTGATCGAACTATATATTAAATACTGCCTTAATGAGACTACAATTGTACTGCGTGAATCATCGAAACCTAGCAATAACATTATCGCACGTTGATAATCAGATGCTCGTTAATAATCGTTTCAAAACTCTGCGTCCGCGAAATTATTGAACACAACGAACGGACGAGTAGAACGGCCAGTACGCACAACCAAGTAAAAGCATAAATCTTTTATTTACCCGCAACTGATTTGTAACTTCTATCCCGCGTATGTCCATGACGTTGATTACATTTAACAAGGTGAACGCACAAGGGGCAAGAACTGTTGTCGTGTCACAAAATCGACGATATTCGTACGAACGCCGAGGAATGAAAACATTCTCCGCCACGAAGGATCAGTATGCTTTCTTCTATTGAACGAGTCGTTCATCTAGATGAGAAACTCTACAGAACGTTTGCCTCGCTGATTTATCGCAGTCTTCATTGCTCGATACTTCATTGCAGTTTTACTGCCTAATCAACAACGAATCGATAGTAATTCCAGAAATACACCAGATACACGATTTGGAATTAATTACTTTACGATGAGTTTTTTTGTTCATCTTTTGTTGGGGGAGATGTACTGCGAGTTGGTAAGGTAGGTATTACTACTTTCATAACGTAAGAAAGGCGGGAACGTTCGAATTGAACTTACGTTGAAGCGAAAGGGAGAGATGCAACTTATTTATTTGACTAACTTCAGCAATATATATTTTCTTCGAATTATTCCCCGATCGAGCTTGAATAAAGGGAAATGTAAATATATTTTCGCGAAGTAAAAGAAAATCCTGAAAATGTTTGATATTTGAATTCATCAATAAAGATTAGTCAAGCAGCATTGAGAAGAAAAATTAAGATGCCCCGTATGAAAAGCTTTTTGACATTCTCTCATTTGCTATACGATCTTTTCGTTCTGTCAATGAGAATTACCGTTGCCATGGCTGTGGCCACTTTTAAAATGATTATACCACCTCGAGCAAAGAACTTGCTGGGCGAAACGGTGCTGGTAAATAATTAAAATATTTTCAGTCTTCGCATTCTATTTTCCCATCTCTCGTGTACTTTCACTAGATAACCGGCGCTGGACGCGGAATTGGCCGCGAATTGGCTATCCAATTAGCCTCTCTCGGTTGTATAATCGTTTGTTGGGACGTAGATACCGAAGCGAATCGATCGACCATGAGCATGGTATCAAAAAATGGTGGAGAAGTAAGAAACAATGAAAGATGAATTAAAGTAGAGACGAGTTCATTTAAATTGTGGTAAAAGTGTCTAATATCATATTGTCGATTATAAAAGAATTTTTCTGAGGTGTCAATGAGGTCGTAGACTCGAGCGTAAATTTACAAATGTACAGGAAAAAATAAAGGATTTATGGATATGGAAAATGGAAAATGCAGAAATGCAATTATATGCAACAATGTATAAAATAGAACATTTTATCATAATATACAGCAGATAAAACAAGTTTTTACTTTTAAATATCTGAAATACATGAAAATCCATTTAAGTCATTTGATATAGTAGTTTAAATGTGCATGTACATAATTGATAATTTACAGTGATTTTAATTTAATTTACAATTTTGTTTTTACATTACTAGACTCTACAGTTAATACATTTAAAAGTTTGAAATTGAAAGTCATTGTTATTTAAATATTCTTTTTTTGAACTTTTGACACACAACTCCATAACAAGATACGTATATGTATTCTTGTGAAAGATACACGTATATTTTAGGCTTATGGTTTCGCAGTCGATGTATCAAAAAGAATAGAAGTCCGAGAGGCAGCAAGATTAATGAGAAAAGTCGGTGTGCCGGAAGTGTCCATTCTGATTAATAACGCCGCTGTGTTATACCATCGTTCTTTCTTCAACCAAGAATCGGATCTTATAGAAAAGACATTTAACGTTAATGTCTTGTCAAACTTCTGGGTTTGTTTCCTCTGAACGTTCCATTATGATATGTTATAAAATTCAAGAAACTGTTATAAAATTACAAATTAACAATTGCATATGTTCGCTTGACTCTTAAATGTTTGTTGGACAGACGATAAAAACATTTTTGCCAACAATGGTGCAAAACAGAAAGGGACATATAGTTTGCGTGTGCAGTATGTGCGGTATATATGGTGTGTCGCAGAAAGTAGCATACTGTTCCTCCAAATTTGCTATGAGAGGTAGAGGAATTTTTAATTGAAACAGTCATTACAGCTGGACTGCAAATTTCTATGCGAATTCATACTTCTTGAGAACGCGATTGAAGAAGAATCAAATTGAAGAAGTAACCACCTCGGTAGAGAAATGTTTCACGTGTTAAGTACGTGTTCTGGAAAAATTTTGCATTTCATAATTCCTTATAAAATTCATGGGAATCTGCAGTCTGATTATAATCTTCGAATAGTTCTTTTTAACTCTAATTTTGTTAATTATAATTTTTGCTATTTTATTGATTCCAAATATAATTTTCAAACAACTAAGAATACATAAAACCGTAGCATTAAAATATTAAAATATCTATTCGTCTTCTTCAAATAAATCGTTTGAAGCAATATAAAATCGATGATAGTCAAAATTTTATAGGATTAATGGAGGCTCTTCACGAGGAGCTACGATTGGACCACAAATATTCTAATATACGATTTACGACGGTTTATCCGTTTTACGTGGACACTGGACTAGCCAGAGATCCAAAGTATAGGTAAACTGTACATATGATTAATAAAATAATTTGATCTCATTCGATTTCATATACGACTTTTATAGGTTTCCTTACATATTCGGTGTGGTATCACCTGAATATGCTGCTAGAGAGATAATCAAAGCAATTAGAAGAAATTATACTGAATACTCGATTCCTAGATGCCTTTTCACCTTAAATTCTATTAATAGGTATTTCACAAGATCTTCAAAGATCTTCATCGATCCAATTTAACTTTAAATTTAACCAAGTTCCATCAGATAAATAATTCTTAACTATCCGCCACCATTAGATAAAATAATTAGAATGATGCTAAATAGTTGCATTCAAACATAATTATTTTCTAATTTTATTACTTGAACGTGGACGAAGAAAGTCGAGTAGATTTTTACTCTTAGATTGATACTTATATTTCAATTCTTAGATTAGATACTTATATCTAAACATATTTATTTTCCAACTGATGGAGTCTCTTGGAATCATAAACTTTTCCTTGAATGTGTACGGCTTCTAGATTGCTTCCTGATACCGCGATGAGGTTAATCCTGGACTTCTTGGCCGATGTGGATCGTAAACATCGAGACAAATTTACTTGTGTGACTTCGTAAATTTACATTTACACGAGGCGGTGTTGCGTTTCATTAATTATACATTCGCGCCACGTGTAATAATATTAATGTCATAGTATTAAATCCGTAACTTTGTAGTTAAGCGTTTCTAGAATAAATAAATAATTTAATAACTGTTCTATCAGATGATTTCATTGTGATTTGAAGTGTCATACGAATAGAAATAGCTGCTAAATTACGTTTTAAAGCTGTTTTGCTTCGTGCTGTGAATTTGTTTCTTATTTGCATAATACCTACTACGTAAGCTCGTATAATTGATCAGAACTGAATATTTAAAATGAAAATTTTGCTAAATACCTTACGTCCACATCTAAAGTAAATGCGTAAACTTTCTTGAGGCAATTTTTTATACAAGTAGACCGTAAAAAGCAGGATGATTGGATGAATAAAAACGTAAGATAATTATAACGTGAAACATTAAAACAAATTCAATCTGGAAAATTTTTAAATAATAATCTTTGTAATATCTACGAAGAGCAATTGTTGAGGTTGAGAAAATAAACTAATTTTCCGTCGAAATTTGTCAAAAATTACTTAATAGTTAGGCCGTTCAATTTTTAAGAAACAGTCTTTTTTTTATAATAGTATTTTCTTTGACTTTTATAAAAAAAAAATAGAAATAACATCGTGTCCTTGAACTTTGAACCAGCTGGGAGGTCATTGCGTGTATCCTGCAAGATGCATCCTTTCACTTTTGAAGAGTTTATAAATACACTCTATTGTATAACGTATCATAATTTTCTTGCATCTCAGGTTCATTGATAAATTAATTAATTCATTTCTTTCAGAACCATTTTTTGTAGTTGTAATTTTGTAATTTGCAAATTATTCTTCTCATTTCGAATGGAGCAATTAATAAATGTTACAACGTATTGAACAAGAATTTTTATACATCCTTACGACATTGTAATAATACAATAATAATAATACGTCTTTTAACAATACAGAGAATGATCGTTTAATTGTTAATTTGTTTTCATAGTGCAATGAGTATGAAAATGAGTGCAATAATGTGCAATAAAATTTTTCCCTAACACGTTTCGTTCTAAATTGACTTTTGGCATACTTGAATTATTAAACAAAACCGAGCAGGAGTGAACAGTCTGTATCTGAATTCAAATCTGAATCTAAATCAAAATCAAATGACAAGTGAATGATAAAAGAAAAGGGCGTTTCTTCTTGATACAATTATTCTTAAAATCCAACGAGCACTCCTCGTCGAAAGTTATCATAGGCAGTCGCTTTGAAGATGCTGTGCCATTTAAATAATCATTTTTCAAATGTTTTATTCAATTCATGTCCAAAGTTGATTGTATATTAGTTTTTCCTAGAATTGCTGATCTCATTCTGCGCAGAGTTTCTTTCCTATAAAGAAAAATTCGTTAACTGGACTGACGCACGTGGATCTCGGCACATTCCATACAGAATAATAAAACGTAAGACTCTGTGCAGTCAAGTTCAACCGGTTGTAGAGTTCTATCGGGATAGCATTCGCTGTTGCTTGTTCAAAACCTTCCAATGTTCGTTCAGTTGCAATTTCTCAGTGTAATTTCTGGACTATTTGTGTAACATCACACTCCAGTGATTCTTTCGTTCGATGTTTTATTTTATTACAACTTTCATTGACATTTGACGATGTTGAATTAAAATTTCATTTGAATTGTTGCAATTATAATGCGTGATTGTTAACATAATCGATGATTCTTGATAATCTTTCGAAATTCATTCATCAGTGAATATCAGTATTCTCTGGATCATTTCTAAGGTAATACTTCAATTTTTTTGTTTTGTGTCAATTTTCATTTACAATAATTAGTAGTGATTATCAACGAACAGAAAATTTCGGAATTTTTCTAATTCGACTGTGACTGTGTTTGCTATAGCAAAAGGAAGAAATATAGTAGTAATTCAGGGCAAAAATAAGTATGAATATGATTTACTTCGTGATTAATGCGAAATCATTTTCAAAACTATAATGAAACGATTGTATTCTATTCAAAGCTCTATTTAGTTTTGCATGAACGTATATTCCCGAATAAGTTTTATTCGCTTCATCCATCTTATCTATAATTGTGTATGCAGACTTTTTTCGATTTCTGTTTAAATGTTCTTTTAAATAAATGTTAGAAGCATTTCAATATTCCCGTATTGTAACCTCAGTATTTTGTTCTGTTTCAAAATACTCAAGTGTTTGAAATTCGACAAATGTACATTGACTTTTATAATATTGATTGTATACAATCACAAAGTTGTCATATCATATTTTCTGTAAACGCTTCGTTTTCAATCAGTATCAGAAATAGGAAATGCAATATGTTAATAGAAAGATCAACCATAACAACAATATGTTAACATTCAATTTTTAGAAAGTCGAATATAATATGTCAACGCGGTTAATAGGCATTCCTGTTCAATCATTTTTTTTTGTGTGTCCGTATCTCGGTGTACAGGTTTACCTTGAGGTAAGTTGATTTAAGAGTCAAGTTCATGACAAACTTCTTTATAAAACTGTGCAAGAGATCCGAGATTGTCACTACCGCAGCATCAGTGCAACGACTTTTCTTTGTTCCATTGAATTCGAACACGTAGGTAATCAGAAATGCAATTTTTGTTAAACAGGAAGAGCTATTCTTCGAGCTATTCCTCTATTTTTTTCTCTTGCATGCGCAAAACTTTAATGAAATTTCTTGAAACCCGAAGTATTTGCAGAAATATTTTACACACGATTAGAATATTAGTTTTCAAATATTAGTTTTTTTGAACATAGAATGTCGTTAGAGTATAAAACTGTTTATGGAATGGAGGAGTGTTTTTCAAGCTTGTCAAGAACATTTTATACTTACTTTACATTTTATACTTTTATACTTATAGCTATTGAAATATCGCAGTTTCCAGATTTTAAGGATAGTTTCTATAATCGTTCACAAAATTTTGACATTTATATAAGTTTTTGTGAATCTTTGTGTATAAAAAAATCAATTACAATTGGAATAATCCAAATCTTATGATTCGAATGTTTCATGATTTTATGTTGTAGGAAATTATTTCGAAAGCGTTGTAAAACGAGTTTCTCTTGCATTTTCATTTAATAATTATTCATGTCCTTAGAATTTTCAATTTTCAAGCTTCTGCGTTCAAGATGCTCGTGAACAGATGTATCTAAATTGCCATTGAAGAATCTTCAATTGTTTCTTTCAACAACCTGCAACGTGCGTTTCGTAAATTTGACGATTTTCAGTTTAAAACTCGATGCAAAGGCCTCGAATTAATTTCCACGCGTATAAATAAATGAAACGTGCAGCATCACTTTTTCTTCTCTCTTTCTAGTTCATCGATCGCCATCAATATCAACTCGAAATCTGCTTTCGTGCGCTTTGCCTCTCGACGCCACGTAAAAAAACAAAAAGAAAAAGAATATAATAACATATTCGTAACGGATCAGCTGTTTCATGAATAAAAAAAAAAAAAAAGGGGGGGGGGAACAAGCGACATGCGGGAGAAATTTAACTGGTTCGTGCGCAGTCGTTTTTTAGCGAGTGTTAGCGAGTCGAACTTCATATCTGAATCGACCATTAGTTGATACTTTTACGTAATAGCGTAAGTTACATAAGGGGCGTAGATTTTTCCTGTTTCTGATTTATTACGCTCGGGTTACTGTGATAGTCATCTATTTCATACTTTCAGCAACGATCGATGCACATTTCAACTGGAATCGAAGGAGAAAGTGTGAAAGAAAGGGAACTGTACTTTCACGTAATACCTTGCACGCTTTGTATGCAATTTTTTTATATACCTCGTAGACAATTGGGTTTTCCTTTTGTGAATGACGATTATGTATACGGGGTGTCTCGGTTTCTCCAGCCAAACGTTGCCAGTTATTTTCATTATGTAGATGAAAATATGAGCATCTTTCATTGTCGATAAGTTATAACAAAAAAAAAAAAAAAAAAAAAAAAAAAAAAAAAAAAAAAAAAAAAAGGAAAAAGCAATAACATAACATAGAAATGAGCAGTAACAATATTTCGGCCATTTCCTATGTAAAAATTTAATACTATGATACAAAAAGTATTGTTTTCTATTCGAAATTATTCTATAAAATATTATTAATATATTATTGTTCTATAAAAATGATATTTTCTTACGATGATGTCGTTTACTTGAACTGATGATAAAAAGTAAAAGGAACAAACGGCAGCTCCAAATGAAATAGGAAATGATAATGAAATTACAAATAAATTGCAATACATGTTTTATTTGAAATTATAAGGTATTTCTAAGTGACAGTATCAGGTAATAGCGCCAAATAAGAAATGATAGTCATTTATATATTATATATTATAGAAGGTTCAGAAGCGTCAGAAGGTTTCGCATTACGATACAGAGTGTAATTAAGATCACTATTCAGACATCATGATATCAAGATTATTATTGCTCAGAATCAATTATTTTTTGAATATATTAAAACATTTATTCCTTATTGGCATAAATCAGATTAATGTTACTTTATATGTATATAATATATGTTCTTAAAACGTATGTACAGGTACTATTAATAAATATACAGCTAGTCTTGTTTTTTATACGTCGCTTTTTGTATATATTCCACTTAAGTTAAAACCAATTTTAAATAAAATAAGTGACGGTAATAATGATAAAGATAATAAATCAAATTCTGCATAAAATGCTGATACTAAGAGTTCGTTATGTAACATATATAATAACGTACAATAACATTCAGTCATGCTGCAATATCAAAGAACGCTGCGCTATTACGCAGATACGAATTTAAGAAACAAAATAAAGTATAAAACCAACGCGATAGTGGTTAAGCGTAGTACAAGGGGGGATGAAAGGTTCATAAGGACCTCGAGTTCGCCGGTTGGCCAGTGGTGTTTTAAACTTACTATAAACTTCAATTGTAAATCGATGGTGTTTCGATGCCATTTGATTAGTTACGAATTGTTCCATTATGCAACGTTGTCACACTTTCGCCAATATTATGGGACACCAATATTTCCGGTTATAATTAGTAACACTACGGCGCAGGAAACTTTCGTCCGATAGCGGACAATTTATGGTGTTTTTTCGCGAGTATCAACTATCTACAGCTCGATTTTTTTCTAATGTGTTTTCAATTTTTTTTTAATACTGAATCGTCAATATACTTCAATTTATTTTTTTGATATACGAAATTCTCCAACGATAATGAGTTCTTTTCGTCGTGTCGTATTTCTCGTGATTAATTCTGTCAGTTAAATTATTCAACGAAATAATTCGCGGTACGTTTCACAACGTAGACGATTAAATTTGACTGTTCACTTCAGGCTCGATTGTTGACTTGAAGTTTTTAATTTCGCGATATTTATTTTACTAATCAGATTGTCAAACTCGGGAAAAAAATATAAATCACCGCATTATTCTCACGATAATGTTTTAGTAAATGCACTGGTTAATAATAGAAGGGGAATTAATAATTTGGTAATAGATACAATTTATATTAATCGGGAAGTGCGTTTGCATTTAATTTGTATTCTTGCTCATTCCTACTAGCTTGAACTTTTGCTTTTATTTTATTTCAGTGCAATCTTGCCCCGTGAGAGATATGATATGATAATTCCGAATTCAAGAATGCTGTGTCCTTCGTTCACCATTTGGTTCCTCCTCACCATTGAATTCTTAGTCAGTACGTTTCTATTTATTCTCGTGGCCATCCTTAAGGTTTTCAAGTCCCTGCTACCCAAACCACCCAGAGATTTGACTGAAAGTGTAGTTCTGGTAAGATTATAAACATCGTCTCGCTTTAAAGATCTAGAAAAAGTCGAGTTTCATAATTGAAAGAGGTTGCACGCTTTTAAACATTCGTAGGATTGTTTCGAGCTTGCAAGTTCAAAAGATCTTAAATGCAATTTTAAATTGAATGGTCCAGGTATTTAGACCTCGAAACGAACAGGTCAGAAGATAAAAACCGTAATCTTCAACAGGTAGCCGGTGCTGCTTCCTCGTTGAGTGAATCTCTGGCGAGTGAATTCGCAAGGAACGGTTGCTCCGTCGTTTGTCTGGACAACGATCACAAGTTAATCGAGGCGACAGCATCCAGATTGAAAAAACAGCGTCTCGTTGTCGAGGAGGTCGCACCGAGTCACCGAAAGGACGATTCCTCACGATGCCGATCGACTATATCCACGTATCGGTGTAATTTCTCAGACAAAGACGCGATCAAGAGAACAGCTGAAAAAGTGAAAGATGATGTCGGAAGAATCGATATTTTAGTGACCTGCATTGACAGTATAAACGAGGATGCCTTCGACACGACCAGCAAGATTCTGATGTCACATTTTTGGGTATAAACTTGTTTTCTAAATCTAAAACAAGATCGTTCTCCATTGTTTAAAGAACGTTCAGTCTGAGACGAAGTGATATGACGTTACTGAATTTTTCGTGTCTCTTAAAAATTGTTTTTCTTCTTAGTAATGTACGACAAAATTCGTTGCTGTTTAAGTTATTTTCACAAAATTATATTTCTTTCTGTATTGTTAATATTTTTTTCTTGTTTCTACTTGCAGACAGTTCTGGCTTTCTTTCCAATGATGTTGGGTCGAAAACAGGCTCATATAATCGGAGTGACTCCAGTCGCATTAAATAATGACACTTACCAGACCTCCAAAATGGTTATAATGAGTAAGCATCATCGAATAATAGTTTATTACTAATATATTAATGTACGTTAACGATCAATGCAGGTTTTATCGAATGTATGTGCCAAGAATTGAGCAATCACAGTAGCAATTTGACATTTTTGGCGTTCTCTCCAATTGCAGAGTGCAGGTAATAATATTTCGAATATTTAAATGAGATACGATTTAGATAATTTAACACTGGAACTACCGATAATCATAATTAAAATACTTATATCAGAGAAATATTATGGTGAAAGAGAGAGAAAAAAAAAGGAGAAGTTCCATAATACAACAAGGAACACAAATTTTTGCTATGATAATAATTTGATAATAAAAGGCACAAAATTAGAAGAAAAATTTTATTAGATTGGTTATTTTGATCGCTTTAATAATTTGGCGTTAATTGAATATATAATCATTGTATAATCGAAATGTTCATTGTTCCTTATAGGAAGACTCTTTTTCTTATTTTAATGAATGCTTTTTCATTGCAAAAAGTGCGTATATTTCCTGCAAAATCTCTCCAATGTTTTGTCGTTCTCAAACAAGTACTCTTTTAGTTTCTTTATGTATGTTTCTGTTTTAATATGTTTCCTTTCCATCTAATTACAACTGTTGAAGCACATTGAAAGAGAGCGAAGAACGAGTGGCTAAGAATATTGTCACGGCAGTGAGGAGTGATCAATATAACACGAGTTGGATATCCAGACTGCTGTATCAAATAAGGTATTAAAATATGAATAGAGAAAACAGAAACTAATTTTTATCATACGGAAAAACGATTTGAAGATAATTTTATGATCCAACGATTATTTTGTATTTTTTATTTTCTGCATTTTTCACTTTCTGATTTTCTTGCAGTCAGTTCAATAAATAAATATTGAAATTAATATTAAATTTGAAAATCTTGTACGTAAGACAAATTCGGTTTTTATGTTAACTTTTAGTTGTTGAAATTTAATATATTGTATATTTCTAATTTTTTCTCTTTAATTTTTCAGTTGCATGATCTACAACGGAATAACATTGCTCACAGAGTGGTCCCACTTTCAAAGATGCAATTATCCCACGTAAAAGTGAATTCTTTTTTTATCCCATGCTCGATAGAATCATTAAAAAAAGATAGTCTGCTGAACTTTCTAAATTCTGCCATTTGACTATTTCAAAAAAAAAAAAAAAAAAAAAAAACAGCTTTGAAATCTCTCTTAATAATTAAGAAGAAACCATACTTACACCAGAACGAAATTTTATTTCGGTACATGATACTCGTGTATCATCCAATAATTCGATCTACATAAATTCCAAGAAAAAGACATCCAAATTGACGCGAAGATATTTAAGAAATAATCAACAATCATTAACAAAAAAATATACAAACTATATGCATCAGAAAAGGAAAACTAACGTGTATGATCATATGGAATCTTTTTTCTTTTTGAACGTTCGTCAATCAGGAATTAATACGTCGTAGTGACCGCTGTCTGAGTTCCCGGTGAATAAAAGTCTAGCTGTCGCGAATTGCGAGCTAACATGATTGTGAAACACTCGTTTAAGTTCGTGTCTGTCGTTGATCTCGCGATAGATCGATAGATTCATGTCGTACATCCTAGTGGCTACCGTGCATTCGAGTTCACTGGCGAACGTGCCTACCATGTTCATATAATTGTCATAAGTTTGCCGATCCGATATGTTCCATTCGGCAATCACGAAGGGCCCATACTCGTGCCAATTTTCTTTGACGTGTTGCACCACCTGCCGAAGCAAAATTTCTATCGTTTGTGCGAGCGACGAGAAGACTGATTCTTTTTTAAAATAACTTAACTTCGTAATTGCAATTTCTCTCAAATTTTTTTTAACTCTAACTTTGTTAGTTATAGATTAAATTTTAGATTTCTTCATTTTACTAAATATTTTAAATACTACTTATTATTTTGTAATATTCTTTATTTCTTAATATTCTAATTAAATATCAAATATTATTCTCTTACACATTATAATATTTTTATAATATAATCTTACATATTTTCTAATATTTTTATAGACTGTCTTTTGGCAATTTATTTTTGATTATTATAGATTTTTCTGTAGTACATTTAAAAAAGAATCAGTTGATGCTTTTTATACTTAATTATTTTTCTTTTTAAGTAATATTTTTTATTCAAACAGTAAAAATAGTAGTATAAATATAAATCTAACATCAGTTGATTCAGCCAATGCATTAATTTGAAAATTAAATTAAATTCAAATATTAAATTTTAATATTATAATAAAGAATGATGGATCATACCATTGAACGCAAGTACCGATGTTCATCCTCGTTTCGCCATAAAATATAGCTAATCGCTCGAAACATACAGTTACCATCGCCATAAATATTATGCACGCGAAACGTGCCTTCAGCGCACCTTAAACGAGCCGTACCTGCAAAATAGAAATAAAAATTTGCATTCTGTCGACAATAAGTAACATACTAATCATCAATTCATATTTTAAATTCTCTTAGAACAATAATAAATTAATTCTTAACTGGCCATTACTGGGCCATTAGAAACCATAATAGGTCCGAATTAAATTAATTAGAATTTTAAAATTTTAATTTAACTGAATTTCATTAATGAGAAACAAAATATAAATCAGATAACTCTAATTCTAAACTGTGATGCTGCTAATGGTCAGATTCATTACAGATGAAATGCACGTAGTGTTTTATAATAAAGTATACCTATACGTAGCTCAGATTGTCTATTAAGAAGACATATTAAATATATAATATCAAAAAATTCAAACGTTAAATAAAACAGAAATTATTACAATTATTTATGATCCAATAATAATATTCGAGGGCCAAATTTTTTCACAGGTGACTACGTCGAGATGTACCTCTTTTAAAAAAGATAAGAAGCCTGTTTTTATCTCTTTTAAGACGTGCGCGTGAACGTAATTGTTCACAGGGTATCCAAACGGACTTCGTTTCTCGAATACCGGAAGCGTGGTTGTAGAAATCTCCGCGGTCCAGGTAGTATTCGTGTTCGAATCGATTATATTTTTTCGCATTCTTGAGCAGCGGCGAGCGATGTACGCACTTGCCTATTAATAAAACATGTAACAGATAATCGATCATGGTTTTTATAAATAGAAAAAAAGGAAAGATTATAGCTTATTTCGTTTTCGCGAGAGAAATCTTTACTTATCGATTCTCTTTGTATGTGCGAGGACTTTTTAAGAGAATTTTTAAATTATGTAAATTATCAATATACAGAGAGAAAATTAATTTCTTTTTATTAAGAATATGAAATTGCAATCTGCTCAGAACTTTTTCATTTCTATTAAAAAGGAAATAATGACAAATAAAATTAAAGTGTGCCACTAAATATTCGTCATTCATTATCAGTATTTTATTCAACTTTCGAGATTACCTTCTTCAAAGATGTGGCTACAGAAAAGAAAGCACCAGAGGCAAGGAAAGAAAAATGCCTTTAGAAATTTTAAAATGTGGACTTTAGCGACGTCCAGCTTAGGTTTTCTTCGAAAGTATTTGTCAACCTGATCGCCTGCTGCATGTTTGATTAATGTGCAAGTGAAATAGCTTTGATATTGTGTCTTTTTTCTTTTTCTTTTTTCCCTTTTTCTATTTTCTATTTTTTTAAATTGATTTCAAGTTCATTCGTATATGAATAATTTATACAAGTATAATTTCGTTCATTGACATTAGCATTTTGGAAAGTTTGACGTGAAAATTGATCTTCTATTGTCTTTCTTTTCATCTTGCAATGAAATTGCGTTTCTTCGTTACATGTACACATTGGAAAATCAATTTTCAACAAATAATATTAATATTAATTATTAAATCAGATTAATTGTTGTACAATTTTGACGAAATTATAACAGTTCAGAGTATTTTTTCAGATAATTTTTTTATCTAGTATATGAATATTTTCGTTCTTTCTTAAGAATATCTCATGAATTTTGTGTATTTGATTTAGACTAGTTTTTTTTTTTTATTCCAACATTTCGTGTGAAACGCACGTGTATTAAGTTTAAATTAGTTAAAGATTAGCGCCAACAGTGAAATATGCAATATCGAACATAATCGATATTTCTCATGATCGATTTTTAACCGGGAAGCATGGCGGAAAGAAGCACACCTCATATGTAAAGAGGAAACTATTATCCAGAAAAGTCGTCCAGGAAAAAGTATTATCCAGAAGTTCTCAGTAAATTTAAATCAATAGCTATTAAATTTGCGTTTGTGTTGTGAATGTTTATAAAACTTGCACTTTTGGCTTCAAGTCATCGAAATCTGTCAGATTACCAAAAACAGTGTATAACTTTTGCTCCCTTAAAGTAAGATTTAACCAAATAATTATTACATATAATTTTCAACAATTAAAGAAATAATATAAACATTTAAACAGAACATGCTATGCTAAAAGTTATTTATAATTTTATATCGAAATTTAATTTCAATTCTAATCAATAGCAATATTATAATCTTGTAATTGACTAACTCATTGTAATGTACATATATATACACATATTTTATTATATGCTCTTAGTTATACTGCGTAATTCTTAACAATTCTAATGCTAAATTCAACAATAATTGAGAATAATTGAGAATGTACGTATTTAATGGTTAAAATAATAATTTTACTGTGTAATATAATAAAATTTTCCATTTCTCCAAATCCAATAGATGGCAGCTATTACATTACTATAGATAAGGAGAGCAATAGCGTGCGACGAGGATGGCAATAGATTTTTAGTTTCATCTTTTCACCGTTACGCGGCGCTAGCATTTCAGTGCTCATAAACCGCGCTAATCTTCAATTACAAAAAAAGACTTATTTAGACAATTAATTAATGAACTTTCGCAATTATATTTTCCAAATTAGACTTTTGGCTTTCTTACTGTGCTCTATTTATCTTAGGAAATGTCTGTACATTAGAAATTCTTCTTCAATAGAGGGAAATTATTTAGAAATAACAAATAAAAAGACAAGGTTGTTTAATATTTACTAAACAATGATTTATTTATATATATCTTACAACGTACATAAAATAATACATTTAAATATTGAATATACAACGCATATTAATTGCATTTACAAAAATAATCAACAGAATATTACATGTACGTGTTTTGCAGATGTATGTAGGTGTCTTCATTCTCTTTATCCGTATATGTTTCATGGAAAAATATAAAACAGGAAATAGTAATTATAACATTACCAAAAACTGGCTCAAAACACAGCAACAAGAAGAAGCAACAGATAAATATAGAAAAATAAGAATAAATTCAAGATAAATATAGGAAAATAAGGATAAATAGGAATATAAAAAGCATGAAACAGGAAAAGAACGATGGAACTCGCTGCACGCAACAAAAACAGGGCATTAAGTGTTTAATACTCAGGTAAATGTATCCTCATCTCGCTGCGCTTCCTCTTTAAATGAAATTTAAACCTGCAAAAGCAAAATATAAAAGTACGTATATACTTATAAGGATTAGATTAAAAGTCTGCTTACCGAAACTATTTTATTAAAATGGGAAGTGTATCATTTCTATTTCACCTGCCAGTATAATGTATACTGTGCATCCAATGTATAACACGTAACACGTATTGAATTCCAAGCCATTCACAGACACCGAAATTCATAATACATTTCGCGCATAGTAAAACAAAAACTCAATACGTTTATATATATATATATATACACACATATGCAATATAGTCTACTCGAACGCTTTCTTAATTAAAATTTTTCCAAGTTAATCTATTAACTACATTAATAAAGAAAACTCGCATTTTTTCTTAAATCTAAACCAAAGAATAAGTAAATTAATTCGTTTACGTCAATTTTTCATTTTAAGCGAGTTCCCGATACTGTCTTTCATGGATAGTGAGAGTTATTATACCTACTAATTAGAATCGTGAAAATATGTTCCCGTTTATATTATACACAGACATGTACAGAAAACGAACTTAAATTTTACCAAGTGTTAATTCAATGTTTAATAGTACATATTAATGTTTATACATTATATTTTATTAACCATTGAGTCAATCTCTGTCTACCTTCGCAATTTATTCTATATAATACATAATAACGTATAATATACATTAAATATTTTTATTTCCATAATTTCAGTATGGAAACTATTGCGTTTATCATCCCCATAAGTAAAGATAGATGCCAAAAACTAATTTTCCAAGAGTAAACGTGCGACAGGTCAAGTTAATGGTATATTTTGCAGGATTTAGAACTGTGACCGCGAATAGATTAATTTGTAAGAAATTGCCTAGTTCGATGTATAACAGGTTAAGGTTAAAGATAACAAAACTATATATACATACGTACGTACGTATTATCACCGCTAATTATACTGATAGAAAATAACAAAAGTGGGAGAAGTGTAACATCATCGTTTCGGAAACGGAACTGGCTCAGAGCAGACCGTACAGCCAAGTTGTAGCTTGGCTACAAAATCGTGTCGTGCAAGCCGTGGTTGCATGCCACTTGCACCAGTCGGCCGCGAGAAAGGGACGGAACAAGTGCCAAGGGAACATGGCGACGCGTTGGAACATGCGACAGTGATGCAGCCAACGTGCAACGAGATCGTTTTCGTCGTGTGACCAGAAGAAAACCCGTGGCCGCGTACGCTAGAACACCTGCCTGGCCAAATGACATGGGAATTTGTAATCGAAGGCACTTTCTGCTGACAATATGCACCTTGCAACTTGTGAGTGTGTCGCTGATGGAAAAAATGTTTTTGTTTCCCTCGTCAGGGGAAATGATTGTTCATTCCGTGACACGCGTAATTCGCGTTTCTTTGACAATGAGTCACAGTTCAGTAGCTTCGGTAGGAACGTAGACAATCCGAAGAATTTGAATTGTCGAGCATCTTTCAAACGAAAGTGTACTCTCTTCCTTGCGCGTCGTTACATTGTTGCAAACGAATCGAATGATTTTATCGTAGCTCGATGAAATGTACGCGTTTGCTTGTTTATCGTATCGCTTTATCGATCCACAGGTCGCGTGGTTTATCTGCGTTGAATAGAGATCGCCGTGTAGAAACTGGACGATCCATTTAATACCGCTTTTACTACTTTCTAAGCTTGCTTTCTTATCGACTCGCGTCGAATATCACAGTACTACGTTGTACTTGAGAGATGTTCTTTTTCTTTTCTTTTTTTTTTTTTTTTTTTTTTTACTAATTAAAAAATGTAATAAACGCATACGAAAAAACAGGATACAATCAACGAAATTTGTTGACTCGATATTATTATTGAGTACATGTTTGAAACAATTGAGCTTTGAAGCTAACAAATGTAGAATGAAACAAGATTCTCAAAGCAAGAAAACGTATGTGGTTCATGAACACTGGTTCGTATTTGGAGCATCAGATTAATTGGGTATTTAGAACGCAGAGCAATTGGTGTAAATTAAGATTGCAGACAAAAAGAAGTTGACAGAAATGAAAGAAATTAATCTTAAGGAATATTCTACCTAGACTTCTTTAATGGTTTATTAAATCTAATTGGAGCTGTTTAATATCTGCTTGTAGATCACTACAGTAGAGCGCCAGGTCTTCGACTTTCTAGGCTTTATGTGGGCCCCGATACTGGTCAATTTCTTCAACATTATATTTGTGATTTTAGGGTTTTTCGGGGCTTTTCAATATAGGCCTAAATATATCATATCAGTAAGTAGAGTCATTTGTTTTACTTTAAATAAGTTACATGTAGAAGTATTTAATTCTGTGTATTAAATTCATTTTAGTATTGTATATGGAATACACTATGGTTAGGCTGGAATATATTCATGATATGTTTCTACCTTGACGTTGGTATACTCGACAAAGTAAGTATAAAGTTTCCATTTAATTTCGTCATTCTAATTTCAATAGATCTTTAATTGCAATTAATCTTTTTTAGAACAGCGACATCTTAAATCTTGGTACTGGTAGCTTTTCTTGGTGGCATGTCAACGGACCAGGTTGTAAAGCTATTTATGATGTTACTGAACCAGAATTATTCAGACCTGCCCGACCTACAAATGTAACAGATTGTGTGTTAGATTATGAAGTAGTCGAAATTTTACATGCATCTACTCAATGCATCTTGGGTGTAAGTATCATCAACTTTTGCTGTCTAGTAAAATTGTATGAATTATGCTATTGAAGATAATATTTCCTTTGTTTTAGTTTATCGCAGTAGTGGGTGGTATTTGTCTAAGTAAAGTTTTCCTGGAGGAAGATGATAGCTGTAAGTATAAGACTCAAGAACTGTTGTAATTTCAGTGTCAGATTGATATAAAAATTAGTTTACAGTGTGAAATTATTTCTAATTTTATTCTGGGGTACTATTTGGTAGTAAATTTAGGTAATTTTGTCATGGGATTGGTAAACAAGAAGTTGGGAAAATTGTCTAAATTTAATTTCTTATTTTTATATAGTGAAAAAAAGAAAAAGCAAAAATAATGCAATGATAAATCTTTTTATGGTGTAAAACAACATTATATGAAAGACAATTGTGATAAACGTCATCCTGAGGATTCTTTTTCTTCTAATTATAATAAATTTAAGATTTATTATTGCTTGAAAAGAGGGTTGTCGGTTACAGTTGATTTCATTGGTGGATTTGATCCTCCACTTTGGTAAGTGCTTTGCCTGTATCATGGTTTGCACGCATTTGCTCTTTATGTAAAAAGCACGAAGTAAAATAGTTTCTCTCATGCACATTATTACTCATCGACTCTTCTGCGAATGTTTGGTGCTTGAATATTATGCGAGTTCATCTGTGAATCTTCGATACAGCATGTATCCTTTGGAAACGTTATAAACTGTTATCAAATTGGCCACATTCGAATGAAACTTAATTTTATATCATTTAATTTAGTTTTAATGAAGAAACAAAAAAGAAAAAGAATCATTACGCTCACGTCAATGAAATTCGATCTAATGAAATCGATTCTACGATTCATATTTCAGTTGACTTTGTGGGAGGTGATGACTTTGGGTTGGCAGGCCACACGCCGTTGCATCCTATGTACGTTAGCTACTCGGCTCTTCCATCACCTGCCCACCCTCACAAAAATTCCGCTCAAAATTACCCCGCAGGCACAGCTAGCTCTCATCAATCAATTTGTCACGATACCAGCTTCCCAAAGCATAACGATAAAACGTTTAACAGCTCCGGACGAAGTAAATGTAGCTTCAGAAACGACACAATCAGAACTGAACGAAGCAACCTGTCCAGTCGCGACTTAAAGCACGTCGATTACTCGAACGACTATTCGAATCCGTTGGATCATTTGCAGAGGCCCGTGTCCCCGTACGATGAGTACGATTCGTTGGACAGTGCTGCTAAATTGAAGTATCAAAAGAACAAACTGTACTATCCGCACTCGTCCAAGTACAGTCCCGTTGCATCTCCGCGTGTCAAGTCTCGACCTGGTGTGGTAAGGCAGAATAAAGCCTCCAACAAGCCTAGAGTCTTTACCGATCATGTTCGCGAGCAATCGATGAGGTCATTTTACTCTGATCCAAGATTGGCAATCGAGAATCAGCAGAACGTGACTGACCAAGATAAACAAAATAAGTCCAAAAGAGATAGTAGACCTTTGTCGTTATATGCCAGTAATTTTTAGATTGTTAAAAACTAGAGAAATATATACATATAGGGAGGATTTATTTCTTTCTACCTTAATCCATTCGAGGTCGGGGCCTCATTTGAAGATGATCTTGAGAAAGTTGATACTATTTTTAAAATATCTCGGCAGCAGTGATTGTGAACTTACTGCTTAATTTTAAACCAACAATGATTTTCAAATTTTCACGCACTTTTTTCTATATTCTTTGACTCTTGTGTAATATTTATTGACGTTTTTTTTAAATTATTCATTCGCATGCAGTTCTTTCCAAGAGGTATTGCGTTACAGATGAATAGCGTAGGACGCATACCGTGCGTCGTCGGCCTCGAATCGATTAAAACAGTATATGGACTGACGTTAAATGTATTTCGATGCTATTTTATAGAGAATTCGAAGGTGTAACGTAGAATTCCTATCCTTGCCAAATAGAACGATTAGAGAGTAGCTAGCTTAGGATGCCTTCTTCGATCGATTTCTTCTTGTTAGTCTAGAAAGGATATCTCTTTCTCTCGTTTCTGAACCAACTTTTTTTTACCGTCACAGTTAATAATTCCTGCTACTGTCTTTAAAGTATTTCGACTGATAACTGATAACGTGAAATAGACAACGTGTGTTCAATAGCATCGATCGCTTCTTCGTGTTCATATTAATTCTTTTTTTTTTTTTTCTTTTTACGAAGATTTTTATTTACATTTGCTCATAGTTATCTTCATGTATAACGATTTATGTTGGATTAGATAACATGCATTTTTATATTGATATACGCACTGTGATACGTTTAGAACTATGAATCATTGTTGTTTGAAAATGTTTATTCAAGCCTTTTATCATCGAACTTGTAACTTTAATTAGCTGTGCTTCACAGGAGAATGTTTTTCTTCTTTTTTTTTTTTTTTTTTTTTTTTTTTTTTTTTTTTTTTTTTGTTACGATATAAGAGACGAGATGACGTTGCATCTTAAAAGGAATAAAAAAAAAAAAAGTACAGCATGAGCGAAAAAAACGCCACGATTGTAAACGTTCACGAATGCGTAGGATTGTTTTGTACTTTTTCTCCTTTTTCATTCCCTTTCCTACGTCGATGTGTTTTTGTTATACGAATGATACTTAATTAAGAATTGCCCTGATGACACAAAATGGCCTAGCTTGCGAGATAGCATCTCTGATAGAGATCCTTAGACTGCATTAGAAATTTAGCTTAATTGTATCACGATGGTGAAGAACTTGTGTTTATTAAGGTGCTGCGAAACACTTTTTTTTTCGTTTTGATGAAACTTTGTATGAGTATTTGGTAGTGCATGCTAGTACTTGTTTACGGTTCTTAAGTTGGACAGAATGTTTTATTTGATGTTCTCCCTCTTTAAACAACGATATGGTAGATGTAAAGTGATACGCGAATTGAAAATTGTACCACATATATATATATATATATATATACACATACGCAGACTTCTCTATAGATTTTCATCAAATTAATATCTTTGACATTTCACGGATCAATTATTAATCAGTGAATGTCTAATGATACGTCGAGGCTGAAAAACAAAATCTGAAGTGACAAAGAAGCCTGTCCTTATTATAGACTGTGTATCTTATAGTTACACAGAACTATATTCTGCGAGTCGCAGATCAAGGCTCGTTCGAAAAATTCGAAGTGTCCAATTCCAAACTAAACGTGATGAGTAAAAAGACATTCAAGAAACTGACAAGCTTGCGTTCCAGATTCCAAATTCCAATCGAGTTGAGTTAAAATTCGAAAGCTTTCATATTTCGAGAGCAGAGAAATTCCAAAAATCGTTTACTCACCAAGAGCTGTTCTCTTCAGACGGTGCACAATTATAAATCATGAATGAGCACGGAGCATATCACTGTTTTCGATGTTCTGACGAACGATTGATTTCTTTGCCTACGTTCAAGATCGCGGTTTGCACGCAATGATCGATCGACGAATAATATTTGATGCGATCCGATAGTAGACGACAATTATAAACGTGCACGTAATGCTTGTGCAGGAAAAAATACACTGAACTGAACGATACAGCTACGTTTTGCAATGATTAATTGATGCTGATAGTTATGTAATTTTCAGTTTTAAATGTTCACGTAGATATCTGTGTATACATCTGTCTTAAACTAGTATCACAGCCACAAGTGGGATTGCTCGATACTAATAATGAATTTTTTTCCTCATCACGTCTGATTGGACTTATATCTTGGCCTTGTTCACGGCTCGCGATACTGCCTGCGCGTTACTTAAGATGTATTACCTTTTAAGTTTTAATTCTTATCGGATGACTTACCATCACCGACTTACTTATTCGCACAATTACATTAATTATGTTTTATATATCTTAAATCGGGTATACTCGATTTATTGAATCTTGCAAATAAATTGCTCACTAAATATATATTGTACATACTTATACACGTATATACAGGATGGAGTTTGGCGTTCAAACTTTGTTAGTATGTCGTGGAGGTAAAAGTAAGATTGAAGTGTTACGTAGCGAAAGGTCCATAAATGTTTTATGAGAAAAATATGAAATCTGCTATTTCTCGTCGTTTAATACAGAATGAGACTGTAACGTTCATGTCCATGGTATTGATATGAGGTACGTTTATTATCTTTGTACGTGATTCTATTATTATACTGTTGAAGAGATCTACTTGTGCTCGTGTTTGAAAGTAAAAGTTTAGGATACAAAAATATCTATACAAATTGGAAGCACCACAAGTGCCAAATATTAAATTTTATAGCCCAAATTGTACACATTATATACTTTTGTAATACATTCTACTTGAAAATTAAGGGATCCTCATAAAAAATATATATTTTTGATTCTCTAGGAAGGAGTAATTCAAGGAACAAATGAGAATGGCACTTTCAGTGTGTCTAAAAATTTAAATAAATAACAGATTGAGCTTTCTTTGTAACAGAAGAGGTGTATTTTCTTTTTTATGAATGTTGACTACATCGACACATCCAATTAATCATTTATCAATGTATCACGATGAAATTTGATCTGCAGTCAATTCAACTGCATACTGATATCAACTTTTGATTGATGAAACTTTGAAATGCACACACACATAAGTATAACTTGAAATGTTATATTTTTATTGCAACTTCTTAATGAAACATTCATGGACTTTTTACTGCATGTCACTTTTATCTTATTTTTATCTATAGAACACACTGATCGATAAAGTTTGAAACATCAAGCCTGTGGACATTCTATACTCTTATATATTTTACTTAATTTATTTATATAAGACTAGTGAGAGAGAGAAACGTTTTCACTTCATCAGAGAATTTATAGTCGAACTATAAACGTCGTATTGTACATTTAATATTAACGGGTCACTTCAGATTCAATATTGAAACGTTTGTTCTCTAGTACAATCGAGGATTCTTTTGTTTTCTTTTTCCCCTCCCCCCTTCTTTTGTCGAAGCTTGTACAAGTAGTATCGTTACAGTAGTGTCGTTGTGTACTTGATTAAGATCGTAGATCTTAGTTTTATAATTTATTTTACTGTATTATATATTACCTTTGGTGCAAGTTCATTGGCGACAATAAACGTGCAATGCCTACTACTTGCTTGCTTTTTTATTTATTAACCCCCATTCTTTTCTTTCGCTCCTTCTCTAACATTCTCCTATTCTTCTGTGGGTTCTCGGCAAAACTATTTTATTTTACTATTATTATTATTTTTTATCGATGTTTTTGTCTTTCGATTAGTATGTATCTTAATAAATTCGATTTAAATGATGATTCACCGTTTTTTTTTTTTTCTTTTTCTCTTGATTAAACGAGTAAATGGTAATTTTAGACTCCCCTTTTGAATGGGACATAATTTTGACTTGTTTCAATAATTGAAAAGCACAGGAAAGTGGCGTCGTTGTTTTAAAATTTCAATGTTAATTAGACATTGGAACGCGTTGTCCCTCGCATGTAAGAGATCGATCACTTCGATCAATCATATAACTGAGGATTCATATTAATACTTCGATAACATACAGCTACGTTTGTCATTTGACTTGAAAGCGCGTGTTCGACTCTGCGGTTTGCGCTTGGTATACAAAAAGATACAAAAGTTTTGTAAAATATTTAACTTTCATTTAAGATCATCACTCCATGATCTTTCGTTCATATCCTCTTTCCTATCTATTTGAGAAATCTTTTAAACATCGTTCAATATTTAGAAATGAATTTATGAGATCCATTGATAAATTGTCCAAAATTTTCCTCTTTCTATTCTAAAATATTTGTGACGTAACAAATGTAAATGGACTATCGTGATCAACCATTAATCTTAATCACTCGCAAATTTTTAGATTTCAAATTTTAGATCCCTACATCTAAGAAGACTACTTACATTTAAATAAATAAAAAAAAAAAAACTATGTAAGTGTCTGTTTACATTTAAAACTATACTAAAACCAATCTACGATCAATAAATTGGTCAGTATCCAAGCGCAAACTGAACAACCATTACCAACAGAGCACGTGTTAACGATATTTTTCTATCTGTTTTACAACGCAGCTCAAGCTAAACGGAAGAAAAAGCAACCACGGCCGCTGTACAGCATCGAGTATTCTCAACCGGAGCCGGCGGTTCACGACGAGAGCGTATCCCCGAAGCCGATGACGCCTCGCAGAGTGAAGAGAAGATCGGTGATCTCTCGCGACGGGACGAGGAGATCCAGCAGAAGGAGTTCGGTGAGACAGTCACGCAGAAAGAATCCCGTGAACAGGATCATGGACCATCAGGAGAGTCTCTACGCCAACACAACGCCCGTGAGCAATCTCACCAATCAGAACGTGAACTCGCTGTCCCAAGGTACCCTCAACTACGATCGAATTTCAATGAGCTGGGACAGGGATAGGAACTCGAACTGGCAGCCGGAAGCTGTGAACATGGCTGTGTCCTCTCCCACCTTGTGGAACCAAGATTCTTCGAACAACTACTCTAATACCAGCAACTACACGAACCAGAATTACCCGAATTGGGACGCTAGCAGCTCGACCAGGAATCTCACTGACAATTGGCAACCGAGTGAATTGAGTACGATGCAGTGGCAGGGGCAGAGTAACCCGACCTTCCAACAAACCAGCACGCAGAGCTTGAACGGAGAAGACTTGGACGAGATCTATAATAATCGGCCGGCCAGTGCCAGGTCGAGTTATAGTAATTATCACGGGGTGAGGGCTACGCCTCAGGTCCCCAATAGAACGGATATTGTTAGGCAGAGCCAGAGGCAGTTTGTTCTCAGCGGACCCCCTGCTTATCAGGACACGGTGATCTGAGAATTCCGAGGGATTCGGAGACCTAGATTTGGTGGATGTTTGGTTGTCCGCGAGGGTTCATTCGATAGCATTGTTATCAGGCGGGCAATTTGTTCAATTGTGATAGTTTTAACGCTGGAACTGCCAACGAATAACTTCCCTCGAGCATTGTCTGTACAAAAAGCTGTGTCGTTAATGTTAATACCCGCCTTTTCTTACTGTTCTAGGCTAAAAATGTCCGTGTTGTTTTATGTACATTTTATTTTATTTTGTCAATTTTCTTTGCGAAGATTTTCAGGAAGGGAAACTTGCTTTAAAAAAATACATGAAATTTGCATGAGGTATTTTAGACATAAATAACGGAGGAAAATTTAAAATACGATAAAGAACGCAAGTTTTTATTCGTATATTTTATGAAAAATTATTAAAATCTTTAAAACTTTGTTATTGTAAATTTATGACATCTCTATGAAAAAATTACAAATTGCTCATTTTGGTTATTCCGGTAGTTCTAGCGTTAATATAATTATATAAATTCCCTAATTGTCTGTTTAGATCTATTTAAATGCAAAAAAATCGAGATCTAGAACTCGATTTTAATTAATTTTTATGTTAATTTCACTTTTAGGGAGAATCGATACTAAACGTCCAACACGAATATAGGTCTATTTTTTGATAACTAATTGTTACTATTAAGAGACAGGAAGTATTTGTTACTTCACTGATTGATCAAGCTTTATTTGGTAACATTGGATGCAATTCTCTGCATCTTGTTTATACACCTTGCGACGAATGTCTCTAAAAGTTTATTAACTTTCAGAAAAAATTCGCGATAACTCTGATCTCGTGACGATGTTTTACATTTCTAAGCCCCGCCTTTTTTTATCTCAGGACGTTCCTTCACGTTTTTAACAGATATTTAAAAATCGTATTTCTTACAATTCGCGATACATATATATATATATATCACCCGTTGGTAAGATTTTTGCAACGATGAAAAAAAAGTTATATCTTTTATATGAGAAATAGAATTCGATAGTTGATGATATCATACAATTTTTAGAAATCCCACGACTGTTTTTCAATTTACTTTCTATTTTACAATTTGACACAATTACTTTCGGACTGTTTTCTTTTCTTTTTTTCTTAATCAGAGGAATCATCTGTAAATCTATGATTTATGATTTATGATCGTACAATCATCTTTATTTATATTCCTTTTTTTTCTTGAGCCTTCGAAACGAAACGTTTACACGATATTTTAAAAGGAACATTAACTTTTCTATGCTCTGTTTTCTAAACGATTTTATAATGTATATCGAATATTATTCGTATCGCATAGTCTTCCAGATATCTAGGAGAAATTGTTATGAAGCTGTGAATTTCTCTGCGACCAATTTGATCTCTTTAAGTGCTCATTGAATTTTAGAAAAACTATGCTTGAATTTTATTATTAAATGTTTATACATTTTTAAAAGGGAAATTTAAAAATGAAAATTATAAAATAGAGTAATATTAACGTTTAATAATATTAATATAGTAACATTTAATAGATGAAATATATATTTGATATTATGTTTGCACAACTGAGGGGTTAATACGAAATTTAAAAAAGTGAAAGAATTGATTACATTGGTCAGATGAATTCATAAACGTGTTTGAACGCTCTATGCATGAGGAGTGCAATAACAGATATTTTTTTCATGCGAAAAATCAAAATAGACTACGTCGATGATGATGATGATGATGGACGTGTGAAATGAAAACCAAAGTATTAAACATCGATCTAAGTTAATTATAATACTTATATGAATGTAAAACTGCCTCAACTCTTTCGCTGACTGTCGTACAACGTAGGTTTAATTAATTACCTAAGTACTTAATTTTTATTATCATACTGAGAATTTCTAGACGCTTGGTTCATCGATCACGAAGTTCTAATGTTACTTAAAAATGCTATACTCTTATTCAACGAACGTGTTCTCTATTTCTGTTTTGATCAAATGTTGAATAATTGTCGATGAACAAGGTGTTGATTTTTAGAAATTTTAACAAGTTAAGTTTTTAGAACTGTTGCTAGACGATTGTCTCTTAATTGAATCTTTTAATCGAGGCAATACTAGATACAAATGTTCGCGTTATTTTTGTAGATTTCTTTTTTTTTTCGATAACTCGATCTACCGTGCAGTGGAAAATATAAAACAGTAAGAGACTTTTATTATAGAAGGATCAAGTGTAATAGATTGAAACGAATTTGAGGAAGTCGAAGTTTCTTCTTCGGTTTTATTTGAACACTTAATTATAATCAAATGGAAATAAAAATATGAAACTTCGTTATTGTGATATTAATCTATAATAATTGGTATGGTGAATATTCGTATGATTTTCATATCTGGATTTAAACTTTCAAGCCTATGAAAATTACCATGATTAAATCGATAATATTTTAAATAAGTTAATTAAAATTTGATTATATAGAACAACATTTGATATGCTCCAATCTATGCGCTTGTTATCTCATAAATAATAATATCTTTTCGACGTCCAAAAAAAAAAAAGAAAAAGTATTATTAACGTTCTGTTTTGCAATTTTAAAAATTTAATTTAATAGATTAATTTTTAAAACTGTGTACACTCGACGCGTATGTGACTGAATGAATTGAACTTTCCTTTTCCTTTCGCACGCTTATTGCAATTTTACGATTGTGCTCTTCGTATTTTATAATAACGATATCGTCAAATAATATGTTATGTTTATTTAAAGGGCAGCTATCTTTAATTAATTAAGAATAAGACTCAACGTGCATCAGCTTATACTTTGTACACTGTTTTCGATTTCTTTCACGCTCAGGATTCAATTGTACACGATCTGCCATTACTATTACAATTCACCAATGTACAACTGTAGCACGAAGCAATAATTGCAAGACAATAATAAACGAGAAGTAATTTTCAATTGACAAATCGAAAGTGTTATTTACGAGTTTGTAGTACTACATAGAAATTTGCACTGTACCTGTTTAAAAATGTTATCACCTTTGGAGAGATCGAAATTGTCATTGTTTGACAAATTTATAAACTTCCCTATCATCCATTTAACCAACACACTTTGTATTACGAACTTCATAAACTTGTAGACCTTTGCACGAAAGTGTACGAACCCTTGCCTGTACATTTAAAAGAATCATCATCTTCAAAATCTCTTCGTCACTTTACAAATTTATCAACTTCTTCGAGTTTCAGCTAAGTTTCAACCTCAAGTCCACCACACACACACACACACACGTTCTATCACAAATAAATCACGTATCTAACATTTTCTACGCATCGTTTGAATGGAAACCTGCCTGTGAAGATCGATTTTCATGGAAGAAACAGAAACTCGAGACCCTCGGCTTCGAACCCATAAAGAAGAAGAATCCAACTCGTCAGTTAACCAGCAGATGGACGTGACATTTCACACAGTGCCGCGTCGAAATCGCGCATGTGCCCTCTTCGCCGGCTTCTCTCCCTGCTGGCGGAAGACCCTTTCTTGCTTCAGTACCTCGTCATTATCGGGACGTCGAGGGTCTCTCGCGTCACCGTCGCCTCTCTCTGGCTCTGTCTCGAGAACGAAGATCGAAAGAAGAAGCCACGAGCCAGCTGAATCAAGCACGCGGTGCCAAGTTGGATCTCTGAAAGTCGAGAGTTACAAGTGATTGGTTCTCTTTGGAGAACTGAAGCTTGAATGAACAGCGAGGCGATCGCGAGGTGGGCGAGGATGCTGAAGATCGTCAAGGTCGGCTCGAACGGACTCAGAAGGTTGCACACGAGCAATAAGGTGCGAGGAATCACCCTGAGTAGCTGATAACGAGTAGATTCGGAGGGATTTTACTTCTTGGATTTATTGATTCGAGGATTGGTTGCCGTTCCGTGTGCGTGGGGATGTCTCATCGATTGTTTCGTAGATTTAGTGAAGAGTTTCTGTAAATTCTGAGAGATTTCGGTGATTTCTTTTGAACCGAAGGGAATGTCGAGAGGATGAAAGAATATTTGAATTTACGGTGAAATATTCGACGCTGATCGTACTTTTTAATAAAATATTTAATTGGAAATTACGAATTCTGTAATTGATTCTAAAAGATTTCCATGAAACTTTGAAACTGCCAAGAGATTTCATACGTGTTGGACAGAAGATGAAAGACTGTTCAGCTGTTGACAATTAAATTTGCATTGATTTCAAACTTCATATTTCATGGAGAGTTACTGAAGAATATTTAGAAGATTGCGAACTCTGTATTCGTTTCTAAAAAAAATTCCAACGACTTCGAAGAAAACCGCAGAATTAAAGGATTCGATGGTAGGAAAAACGAAGAAATTCTTACTCACGGTTCATTTCTAATAATTGAACGGACTGTCCGATGATATTCAGATTAGAAGATTCGAGTGAGAATCGTCGCTGATTGATCAGTCAACAGCAGAACAAAAATCTCCTCTTAAATAAAACGATGATCCAAATGAAAGAGTGCCGCGAGACTACCACTTCTTCTTCGTAACAAAATATCCTTCCAAATTGACCAACTTTTCATTCTTTCATCTCGATGCGTTCAACATACGTGCGCTCAATAGACAAAAATACAGTACTGTCGCAATGTCGTGATAAATAACATTTAATATGTTAATTGAACCTTGACAAGTATTTGAACAATGGATGACATTTTCGTATAAATGCATGCAGTTCGAGGGAAAAAATGATATCGATCAGAACCGGGGTGGCACGTGAACACTGTTCCGCCCACGTGGTGGCAATGGCCCATTTCAGCGACAGAAATACTTGAAACGGCGGCCCACTTGGAGTAAACTGGCATTTGAATTGGACGGTGTTAGCATTTCTGCGCGATAAATTGATGTCAACGATCGCCAATGAACTGTCTCGCGCCTTGTTGTTATTTATGATGTGCCGTTATTTGATGTCACAGCGCCTCGATTGTAACTAAGAAGTCACGCGGAATTTATACAGATAATTCTCCAATAATCGTGGAAAAAAAGAAAAATTACAAGCAATTTGTTCTCCCTCTATTTTTGTGTTTGAAATCTCTGTTCGCGCGTTACTTTTCCAACTGAGAGCTCGATAGCTGTGTCTATTAATAATTGAACGTGATTTTTGTACAATTTCTACGAAGAACGATGCGCTGGAATCTCTTTCGAGTCAATTGCACTTTGAATCATCTTCTACGAAAAGTTGAATTAAAAGTTTGAGACAATTGTCGAGTGTCTGTGAAAGGAACAACCGTTCCGTTTTCGTTCACAGATCCTGCTGATCCGAATTAACGAATTTGATACACGTGACAGGATACAAGTTTCAGCTTAGGTAGCTATAAGGGTTGATTCATTCAAGGATCAATACGGAATTGCTTGGCAACCGGCGTTTTGCACCCCTAGCATACTTCGCCGACCCAAAATTCGTCCATCGATCGTTGGACCGGTTTTCAGAAAGCGGAAGAACAGTCTCTCTTTTCATCACAACGGTTTTATAACAGAAAAGGCAGACTCAACCTTGAAAAAGCAGACTGGAGATGATTCCTTTCACAGTGGAAGAGATTTTTTCCAGTCTTTACTGGAGCAAAATCATTGAAGAACGAATATCTACGATTGGATGTGGAGGAACTGTCAAAGATTTTTGTAACTGACTAGACCCTGAATCCTTGTGCAATTTCATATTTCGTGTAAACGCAGTTTAAAAATGTGCATCCTAAGCAGATACAGTTAGACGTTTGGTCCTTGAATTTTGAAACTGAATTTTGTATCGAGTGATAGCGTATGATGAGACATCGTCACGATCACGGCAAATTTTCGAGTCGAGAATTAGCTTCTGAGAAATAAGGGGTCTATTGTAACGCGTCAGCGTGTTACGCTTCGATATCGGGACTTTTATATTGATCGGATAATTTAGAAAATTTCTGCCACTTGCAAACTGATGAACTTTTAACTTTAACGAAACTTTATATTTATGTAAAATGTATATTTAGTAAAATTATTTGAAAGGAGAGAAAATAATAATATAAAAATATAAAATGTAATATAAATTTTATAATTATTATTAAATTATATAATTATTATAATATAATATTATATAATAATTTGTATAATTGTTATATAATTATTATAATAATATTATTATATTATAATTATTATAATATATAATATATAAAATATATATAAAATTATTATATTATATTATTATATAATTATTATAATATATAATATATAAAATATATATAAAATTATTATAATATATGAAATATAATATAAAATAATATAAAAAATTTAGAAAATAAATGAAGTTCAGATTATGGCCTTTGCAAAGGTCTGCGGTCAGGTCATTTCTAGCGTCATCTTAATTTTATTAAGTGTCCAGTGACATATGGATGAAAGGGAGCATCTTTTACTGTTTTTTTAAATAAATATTCACAGTCCAATGATCACTAAGATCAACGGGATACAAGTTACAAAATAATAAATAAAATAAATAAAATGGAGCGCAAGTTAAACAATTAAATCTGTCAAGTTGTAAGATAAAGCGAGGTGAAATACTTTTAGCAGACGTGTTGTACTAACATTTCTCTGTATTGTTTCAGAGACGAGCGGCGGTACCAGCGTCGAACAAGTTGGGGAGTGTAAAATACTTGGACGCTGCATTCGGAAGTGCCTTAGAATTAGAACGAGCACAGACACGGTAATTAATCCATTATCTTACCTCTTCCTCTACTTTTTATTTTCCTTTCTTTTTCTTTTTCAACTCGACGACTATTAATTCTCAGTATGGTCGCCACTTTCAAAAACATGACGTGTATTTTAAAACACGATGGGACGAGACATGTGTTTTCAAGTTTCACGAGCCAAAATTTAATGCGATTTAATTTTACATTGCACTATGAATTGAACTATTACTTCAAAGTTTGAATCTAAACGTGTGCTACTCGACGTATCGAGACATCGTATCGATCTCGGTATTTTAGTTTTAATTTTATTTATGTTCGTTCGTGTATATTTTTATTTCTCTTTTATATATCGTATTTTAATATACACTTTTGAAATAAATAAATAAATAAATAAACAACTGTTCTTCCACTCGTCCGGAAGAAAAATTGCCAAGTTACTTGACAGTTTTTTAAATTTATAATTACAATGGACGTTCTCCCGTCAATTTAATTGTTTGAATGAAAAGATTCTTCGTTGTTTATTTATTGCCGCGAAGCGACCTAGTGATCGGAACAGTGTTTCATGTAATCGTGCAAGATGATCCGCAATTACGCGATACTCTCTGATTTCGCATAACTTCGACCGCGAGAGATATGTATTGCGACGTTAGTATCGAGTTCGAGATCGCACAAGGCATAACGATGGAGATTTATACGTGATACATTATTATATTTATATTTCACTGAGTATATCTCACTCATAAATTTACATATTTTTTATTTGTAAATCTTGCTTATACTAAATTTTAAATTGTACTAAATTCCATTTGCCCCACCTCAGAAATTCATATAAGTCTCGTGAACATTTGAATATAGTTTACAAGCATGCATAAATGCCCGTAAGTCTAATTAATTAACATCGAAATCGATCGAGCGTGACACGCAGAAGAATATCCGTGCAAGTTAAGTCACGTAATGGAACAGTTTCGATTGCACAAATAATTGGAGCAAACGAACAAAGTCACAGAGCATTTGAACCACACCAATGGGCACAATAATCTCCGCAGATGTCTGATTCGTTTCGTTCATTTAGATTAAAAAAAAAAAAAAAATAGAGGGTCGTTTCTCGTAACAACGAGGAAATAGATTCATTTAGATGCTATTCAAATGGAGCACAATGGAGTGCCAATAAATCCAAATTAACCGAGTATTGACGATTCTCAATCGCTTTTGCTCGGAGAACTGTTAATTATCATCGCATCAAGGAGAAAGAGAATGCAATTATTCTTTCAGTTCCACTCAAATCTCATTGTGTAATAAGATTGTCGTGTCGTTCCTGTTTTTGAAGGAATTGCGATGACTGTTTTTCAATTTATTTCACCAATATTCCTCCGTCCCTTTTTTTAGTCATTTTCTTACATATAATAATATTTTATATAATATATAAATATATAAAAATAATATATATAAATATATAAAAATATATATAATATATAATAAATATATAAATATATATAATAATATTATCTTATATATTATCTTTTTTTATATATAATAATCGACACTTTGGTCATTTGTATTTTTTTAAAAAAATTGTAATATTTTCTTTAAACTCATTTTTCCAATATCTTTCCTCCACCTTTCGATTATTACCCCCCCCCCTTCTTCTTTTATAATTAATTCGATTATAATCCTAGCTCTAATAATTGTTAGTGTGCTCTAACAAGTGTTGATAATTAATATTTTCGAAAGAATTACAACATTTTCTTTTAGTATCCTTCAGTTATTTCGTCATAATTACAATAATTCGTGCTATTCATGTTTTCAAACATATCATAATATTTCTTTTCTTTCAATTTATTCAACATCCCTTCATCTTTCGTTTATTTCCCTCCCTTTTCGTAATTTCTGACTAATGTCGTTCGCATATTTGTAAAGGAATCACATCGTTCCCTTTCAATTCGTATTCAACTCAATATGAATTCAATTTTAATTTTTCATTACTTCTCGAAAAATCGTCTTCTCTTTCAATTTGTAACATATCGATACTGTTAATATTGAAAGGACGAATATTGGTTATTAATCGAGAATCATTGACCTCCAGAGACCCGACCCCATAGGTTCTAATTGATCGTCTGAACGTCATTGCTGTCCATTTAAATGCACACGTCCAAAGGATGTCTCTTCGTTACCTCGCAGAACTTTGCTCGGCTTCGCGGAAGAAGAGTGTTTGAAATTGACCGAGATAATAGACGTTGGATAAAGATTCTTGTCGAACGATGGGCGATTCGGTCGGTCGCTCTTTGCGCCGAACGAAGGACATAATGGACAGCTTCGACTTCAGTGAACCGTTCGTAGGCGATTTTTCTGATTTTCGCAAAGCATATTTACGGTAAGAATCGTTTACAACTCGTTTAAAACGCGACTCTCTCATTTTTAGTTGAAGTTAGAAAAATATGCTTCCAAGTGCACTACATATTCACGATCGTATTTCTTCTGTTTTTTTTTTTTTTCCTTCTTTTCGCATCCTCTCGTCATTCTACGTATAATACTACGTATCGCATCGTAATATATCAAATTCAATTCAAAAAATTTGCAATTTTCGAGCTATCAATATAAAAGTATCACTGTAAATTGCAGATCTTTATAATTTGAGGAATTATATTGCTCTTTTTTGATTCATGCGACACTGTATTTTATATAAATATTTCTTATTATATATATATAATTATAATTATAATTATTAAAAAATTTGCGATTTTCGAGCTATCAATATAAAAATATCACTGTAAATTGCAGATATCTATAATTTAGTAGAGAGGAATTATGTTGCTCTTTTTGATTCATGCGACACTGTATTTTATATAAATATTTCTTATTATATATATATATATAATTATTAAAAAATTTGCGATTTTCGAGCCATCAATATAAAAATATCACTGTAAATTGCAGATATCTATAATTTAGTAGAGAGGAATTATGTTGCTCTTTTTGATTCATGCGACACTGTATTTTATATAAATATTTTTTATTATATATATATATGATATAATTATAATTATTATATATATAACATATCGTATATTATAAATTTTGTCTTGACCATCATTGCGAACAAATATCGATAAGCCAAGAAGATTATTTATTACTTTTTGGATTGTGTTATCTCTTCAACTAGCAAAGTAACATCTAATTCTGTTCTTAAACCAGTTTTTCGCATCTCCTGGAAAACATTTTTCTTTCCAATTTCTGCGCAATAGTATAATACGATGTGTGATCCTCTCTTGGAGAGAAAAAAAAGGATTTTTATTAAAAGAAATTATTATTTGAGTAAAGAACTGAAAGTGAAAAATCGAAGCAAGTTCTAGCTCATTTAAGCTTCAACCTTGCGCAACCGTGCTTTAAATATCGACTTTCAAATTGAATTAAAAAATTGTCACCACGACGATCGTCATTCTCGATGCATCAACGGTTCTAATTGAACCTAATCTGCTGTTTACCATCCGGGGAATTTACTATGTAAATCGTACGATAATGGAACCTCTTCTCGACGTCAAAAAAGACACGTCACACAAATTCTCTGAAAATTCGAGATCGTTATACTCAAATCTTGCGCTTTTTTTTTTTCGTGCAAATCCCGCTCATTAGGGGCTGATTGTTTTATTTGTCACGCAGATAGGAATTGAATTCTCTAATTCCACGAATATCGACGCTATGTATGTATGCAGTAGCAGAAACGAAACTTGTGGTCAGTAGAGTAACTTTGTTTGCGAACACATATATCTTCTTCGAGATTTTAATTTACCGAGCCTATTTGTTTTAGTATGTGCGCGAATAGTGTCTCGTGCAGAGTGAGATTTTCAGTTCGGTTTTTCTTTGTTCGTTTCTCGTATAAAGGACTGATATAAGACCGCGTTTTTCCGGTCATCTAATGCATTCATCTGCGCGCATCATTCGTGTGCATGTACGAACTGCTTTGTGACTACTCTAACGGATCCTTCGTTCGAAGAGAATTGATTTTTAAATTTCATTAACTTGAATAACTTAACTCATAGCCGATGGATTGAAGAGAATCGATTCGATGTTCAAACATGAATGAAAGTCAGAGCGTCGTTGTGCCTTACGCAGAAATGAACGATAAGTGTTCGACGTTAGAGAGTTCGGCGTTAGTGCCGTCGAGCAGCCTCGCCGACTCTGAATACTATTCGATCAGAACGAAAGTCGTGTGCTCGATTTGGTTAGAGAAGAACACCGAAAATTCGAAGATGATGCTGGCGCGTTTTCTCAGGTACAGTCACGTGTCATTCTCTTTCTCGAATTCTGATCTCTTGTCGTTGTTCTGTTTTTCCAGCGAGTACAGCTTCATTCATGACAGCCATTACATGTAGTGAGTACTATGCAACACTGCGTGTTGTCTATTGCATGGTGCAGTGTGTGGTGAAATTCTGAAAGCTATTGCTTGTAAATTGTAATCGTCGTTGGATTTTCGTTTTCAGCAGCAGTGATAATGAGAACTTTTTTTTTTTTTCATTCGTCCTTGAACATTACGATCTGTTCGTTTTTCTAAATTTTTTACGTGAGCTACTGTTAACCATTAGTTTCACCACTCTGTTCGTCTAACTTTTTGTTTTCTCTACAAATGTGTCACTGGTCTGATCAATTTTCAACAAAAATAAGAACTTGTTACTCAGTTGCGTCATTCAATTAACATCAACTGAGGCACATAGTCAAGATACCGATGATGATGTACACACAACTAATTTTAGCTTGCTCTGTTAGAAATTTCAGAGATTCGAGTTCAAAATTGTGGTTCATATCCTTATAAATAGCGAACGTTTGGATCTTGGTTTAGATGTTTATACAGTTTATGCAATTAATATATATTGTAATGAATATGTAATACATTTATGTTGTGCATGACAGTAGTAAATTATCTTTATGGTCTTTATCTAGATAGTCTTGTAAATTCAAATAAATTCGTCACTTTGGCAAGATGATCAATTGCATGCCACATGAATAGAATAGATCAGTCGCAAAGATCTCTGTATACCACATTAAAATGTTAATTTTAATATTAAATTAAATTAGATCGAATGTTCAATTAATAAATATCACCAAGTACAGTTAAATGTCGAACAAACATTATAATTATAACATTAAATTAAAGTCTCTACATTAAATAAACAATATTTGTACGAGATTTACATTAACATTACATTGATATTTGTACAGTATTTAGAAACGTGAAATGTATTATTAATATGCAGGAAAAGCAATTTACATTTACTTGTTAATAATTAATCTAAAAAAATAGAGCAGCAGTATAACAAAAGTAAAATCATAAAAGTTACATTACATTTAATATGGTGCATGGAGACTTTAAAGACTGACTGTAAGTAGAACAATAGTAAGTAGACAATTATATCTTCCCTCTAATAAATTGCACTGAAGTAGGTTTGAGAAGATAGTGATTCGAGTTCTTATTTCTATTTTATGAATTTCCGTTTCTTTTTAATTTGATATTAAAATAACTATTTATTCTAGCACCAGAGACCAAGATCAAGCGACGAACGCCGAAGATGTTCTCTTCGACATGTTCAAGAACGAAGATACCGGTCTTCTAGCAGTGGGGAAATTTTTGGCGGTAAATATTCATTTTCATTCATTTCGTTCATTAATGATTTACATATACACATATTGTTTCATTCTCACACGTTTGTAGGCTCTGAGAACAACCGGTCTGCGAAACGACGACCCCAGGCTTCAAGAATTCACGGACAATCTACGAAAGGAACACTTGAAATCCGGTGGCCACGAGGGTGTGTCCCACGAGACGCAAAAATTAAACAGGGAACAATTTAGAAGGTAATTCTTTCTTCGGTTAAACAACAAAGATTCACAATTTTGTATCTAGCTAAAAAAAAAAAAGAAGCAAATTTCCAGTTTTCTATTGTGAAATTTTTACCTCGCTGTCTTCGTCAACCTTTTGTGATTTATTTATTTTTAAACGTGAAATTCACGTTTCATTTTGCTGAAATTTTTCGAAGACCTCGTTCGACAAGCTTGAAAATTCGAACGATATTTCAGAATTGTAAATCCGAACATAGTGTTGATCTCGCGAGCGTTCAGGCATCAATTCATCATCCCCGACTGGTCGGGCTTCACCAAGCACATAGAGGACTTCTACTGGAAATGCAAGACGAACTCGGAGGGCAAGGTCGCGTCGTACATACCTCAGCTGGCGAGAATGAATCCAGATTACTGGGGCGTTTCCGTTTGCACGATCGACGGACAGAGATTCAGCATCGGCGACACCTCGATCCCGTTCACTCTGCAGAGTTGCAGCAAGCCTTTGACATACGCGATCGCCTTGGACAGACTCGGACAGGAAGTGGTCCATCAATACGTCGGCCAGGAACCATCCGGACGAAACTTCAACGAGCTGGTGCTGGATTACAATAGTAAATCTCATTATTAATTAATAAATTATGGATTTTTAATAGACTAGTTCTTCTTTAAAATAATTTAGAATTTCACAATTGCAATTGTTTATTGTTATCATATTTGATCCTTTCGCGACACCTCATCTCTGCAAAATCTAATATTTCACGCGATAATCATTGTTTGCGTAAATCTCATTATTAATTAATAAATTATTGCTTTTTAATAGACTAGCTCTTTTTTAAAATAATTTGGAATTCTCATTGTTGCGTAAATCTCATTATTAATTAATAAATTATGGATTTTTAATAGACTAGTTCTTCTTTAAAATAATTTGGAATTTCACAATTGCAATTGTTTATTGTTATTATCATATTTGATCCTTTCGCGACACCTCATCTCTGCAAAATCTAATGTTTCACGCGATAATCATTGTTTGCGTAAATCTCATTATTAATTAATAAATTATTGATTTTTAATAGACTAGCTCTTTTTTAAAATAATTTGGAATTCTCATTGTTGCGTAAATCTCATTATTAATTAATAAATTATGGATTTTTAATAGACTAGTTCTTCTTTAAAATAATTTGGAATTTCACAATTGCACAATTTATTGTTATTATCATATTGGTCCTTTCGCGACACCTCATCTCTGCAAAATCTAATGTTTCGCGTGTTCATGGAAAATTCGGGCGTGCAATAATTTTTAAAAAGAAATTAATTTTTCCTTCAGTCGAACGTTATAAAATACATCTCATGTCTGTATTTATATTATGTCAAATTTCTGTAAAAATACATCGAACATTCTTTCAACAGAGAAACCTCATAATCCGATGATCAACGCTGGAGCGATCCTGGTTTGCTCCCTCCTGAAGTCTCTAATCAAACCTGAGATGACATTGGCCGAAAAATTCGATTTCACGATGAACTATTTCAAGAAGCTGGCAGGTGGAGAGAATCTCGGCTTCAACAATGCTATCTTTCTGTCGGAAAGGGAGGCTGCCGACCGAAATTACGCGCTTGGATTCTACATGAGGGAGCACAATTGTTATCCCGATAAATCGAACCTGAAAGAAATCTTGGATTTCTATTTTCAGGTACATACAATCACCATGTATAAATACAAGAAAAAAAAATATATATATATATATCTAATGTTAAAAAAAAATATTTAAATGATTTTATTTTCAAAGTGTTGCTCGATGGAAGCGAACTGCGACACAATGGCAGTGGTGGCGGCCACTTTGGCAAACGGTGGCATCTGCCCTATCACCGAGGAGAAAGTTTTAAAGCCTGATAGCGTTCGAGATGTTCTCAGTTTAATGCACAGCTGTGGAATGTACGACTACAGTGGCCAATTCGCGTTCAAGGTAACTTTCGCCTCTTTTAAAAGGCTTCAACCTATAATATCGTTAAGACAGGAGATATTTAAAAAAAAATCTAATATCTAATAATATAAACTATAATATCGTTAAGAAAGGAGATATTTCAAAAAGAAGTTCAAAGTATCAAGAATCTTGTACAATTGCAATTTCCTCCAGTTCAACATTCCACGAATAAATATCCTTCTCCCGAAGACACATCGAATTTCTAACGAATTTGATCCTATCGCGATCCAATTAATTCGGATTATTTTTTCATTCATTTGAAACTGACTTGAAATCGAATAACGAATATGAATCGTGTGACCGAGTATAGGTTGGCATCCCAGCGAAGTCCGGAGTGTCAGGAAGCCTCCTGGTAGTGATACCAAACGTGATGGGCATTTGCACGTGGTCTCCGCCGTTGGATCCCCTTGGAAATTCCTGCAGGGGCGTTCAATTCTGTCAGGAACTCGTCTCCGAGTTCAACTTTCATAGGTACGCTTGCCGGTTTTTACTCTCGTTTGATCGTGCTTGCATAGGTCGCAACTTGCACTTAGTCATTAGGCGTAGAAATTAATTCGGTTTCGTTTTCATTGGTTTATTGATTTGATCGTTAATTTATTCTCCTGTGATTCTGTATCGTGAAACAAATTCCTGTTGCACTCGGAGGGGAGTTTTCATTCGACAATTGTCCAAGTTCTTCGAATTTTCAATTTTTTCAAATTTTCGTCATCAAAATATGAGCTGGACACAACAATCGAAGAATACAATTATTTTCTTTTTCTTTCAAATAATCTACAATGCAAAAGCAGAGCTAATTTCTACGCCCGATATTTCTTACACATTGACGATCACGTTGTGTTAGCTGTTGCCAGAAAAAAAGAACAAAAAAAAAAGGAGAAATAATAAGAATATTACCTAACTATAAATACACGAAACGTAGAGAGATAGACGCACTTCTATATATATATATATATATATATATGTGGCAAATTTTCTTGGTTATTAATACTACATAAACACCGAGACCGAGTGATAACACACATTAATCAAACTGTTTGTTCTCCCTCCTTTGCTTTTCTCACAACCCCCGCTCACACGCAAACTCTGCACGAATATACCGAACCCTGACAAACACGCTCTGCCTATTACTCTTCTCTTCTGTACATCTATGTTCATTGGTATCCCGTCGTTTTCCATCCCGTCCCGATTAGTGTAGCACCTACTATGATCACAGGTACGACAACCTGAAACACGCGACCAACAAAAAGGACCCGAGGAGGCACAAATACGAGACCAAAGGGCTGTCGATCGTTAATCTATTGTTCAGCGCGGCCAGTGGCGATGTCACCGCGTTGAGAAGGTTAATTATCCATAATTTATTATTTGAAATTTATCCTTATAAAGCGTAAGTCCGCGGTTTTTTTTTTTTTTTTAGAGAAAATTGCGAAAACGAAAGATTCAGATATACTTGAGTGTATATCTTTTCAGTTTGTATACAGTTTCTAATCGAAATCTCAAAATATTCATTTGTTTTGATCATTGAAATTTCATTGGCGAATTGTAATTGTATAACGCAAACATTTTTCGACGTTTTGAAACAAAGAAGAAACGGACTTACGGATCACTTCCATTATTAATCCTACTGCTTCGTTTTTTTATTTTAGTTTAAACTATATATTCAGAGCGAATATTGTATATATTCAGAGGTTCATTTTGTATATACAGTCGATCACGAAAATTTATTATGTGTATATATCTTTAATCATTTTATAGATACTAATAACTTATATAGATTCTGAAAAGACAGTAATAATATTTATTATCAGTATCCATCAATAATAATATTTATTATCAGTATCCATCACCAAAGAATTTTCTAAACTCGAAAGTAACATGAAAAAATAGATGTCAATCGGAGTAATTTCACATTCCAATTTTATACATAACACGAACTCCTAACGATACGGATGTAAATGATAATATTCGGATTATTCTGATACGATTTAACATCGTTTGTAAAATAATTTCAATTCTGATATCAGTTCGTTAAATATTCCACTTTTGTCAAAGCATAGTGAAGAGTGGAGTCCACCGTGGAAGTTTTAACAATTAAATTATAATTATAATTTCAGGCATCGATTGAGTGGCATGGACATGACACTTTCGGATTACGATGGCAGAACAGCTTTGCATTTAGCTGCCAGCGAGGGTCATCTGGATTGCGTCGAATTTTTAATCGAACAGTGTGCAGTTCCTTACAACCCTAAAGACAGGTACATAAATGCCTTTTTTATCTTACGACCTTACACCCGTTTGATTTTCATCCGAAATTAACGCAAAAATTCATTGAAACTAATATCAGAAGGAACTTCATAAATATCTTACTTAAGAAAATATTTATGTTGCAAATATTATGTTTTAAGATGGGGAAAAAGACCGATCGACGAGGCAGAAACATTCGGACATATGCAGGTGGTGGAATACTTGAACAATTACGCCATAAGCCAGAAAACAGAAGCGGAGAACAAAGAGAAGGAGAGCAGTAACAATAACGGGGACGGGGATCAACGAAAAGTGGAATCGACGGTTCAGACACCGTAAGATCACGGTGCAGCTTTAGATAGAATATTTTTGATTGACCAACGATTACACAGGAGAAAATAATGGAGAAATCTCGAGATCACAGTGAATTGATTATTTTCCTACGACAACACACTTTGCCGCTGATTCAGCTCGTTTCTCGACGAATTATAATTGAATTTGCAATCTTGTTGCTACCATCGAACACTATAAATTATATATAAGTTGTAGAAGTTTCTTTCTGTTTGTATCTTAATTCTCTCGATTTGTTTGTCTTTTTGAACGAGTGTGTGTGTATATATGTATGAATTACAAAGGACGTATGAATGATTTTTCTTTCGAAGTACATTGGTTATGCTTGTATCTTTTTTTTTTTATCAATTCACAGGGCATTTTTAGTGCGAAAAATTCGTACCTTCCTTTACGAAGAGAGCTATGAAAGAGTGCTAGTATTGTCAGAGTAATTTTACAGTATTATTCACGTGATTTAATTTCTACTTACGACGATGAATAGTTGAGGAGTTGGGTGCGAAAATCTTGAAGAAATGAAATTGCTAAATCTCTTGAGATCTAGACAAATTGAAAGAATATTCATAGATCATTTTCGATCAATTATTTAATATCATACGTATACAAATATTCTCCAAAAACTTCGTCTCGATATTCCATAATTAACAATTCAAACATAGCCATATATTTGAAAGACTAAAACTAAAACTTTTGTCAAAAACAACCTTATGAGTAATTTAACGTCTTCGTTATGAAAATTTTACTTTTGCAAAAGCCTTTAATATCTCGCATTATTGTGACATGTCGTCTTCTTCGCACTGAACTCCTTAATTCATATCTCTTTTTTTGTAATATATGTACTTATACGTTGGTGCTGAGGTACTAATTTAGATTTTGAACGATTGTACAAGAGAAGAGAAGTGTGTCGATGATAATTGTCTCATATAAAGAGCATTTCGTTTGTTTGTGTAATAGTCGTTCCTACGTATCCATCGATATAAGAGTAAACTTTGTATATTAAGTGAGAAATATTCCTTAATTTACAATTAAGAATCGTTCCCTTTCGATTTGTAATCGAGACTTTATTAATTTTAATTTTCTATAACGTCGTATAACTTCAATATACATAATCCATATATTTATGTAATGTCATATTACTTTTAAAATTTCATTTTATTACTACATTTCATTTTATCGTTCTATGTTTCATCAACGTACTATTATATTATATTGATTTATTTATAATAATTGACGTTTTAAATCGAAACAGAAACTTGTGAACACAAACATAAGCAAAATTGTCCGTGAAAAATTATGTACGCTACTGGCCATAAATATCAGAGTATATAATAAACATATAAGGCGAATGAAATAACATATTTACAATAAAATAACTATAAAGTACATAAACAGCTACAAAAGCAATTGAAGTATTTGCAACAATAAAGAGGTAACTGCACTAGTTTCACAAGAGAAGCATTCAAATGTGAATGTATCAAATACATATGTACTACATGTATTGTGTATGTATGTATAAAAGTACAAAGCCTATTGCTAAGTTTATTGGTTTAAACTAGTACTGAATTCTTGTTGATTTGTTCAAATCATTGGAAAATAGATCTGCCTCTTTATTATTGGAGAAATTACTTCAATTATTAGTATGTAATGAAACTTATAGCCGGTAGTGTAATGCTTGATAATAATTTGATTGAATTTGCAGTTTATAGATTTAATCCAATCTAATTTCGTTTCAAACGATTTTGCGTTATCTTTAAACAACCGAAACCGTGATCCACTGTGTCGTACGTGTATATAAAATCATTAGTCGAGAGGACAGGGATCGTAAATTCCTAAATAGCAAATGAGGAGAGGAAATAAGAAATATCTGTCGTCTGTTTCCCGTACGAGTGATACTTCTCCACATTTATTTGGATTGATTTCTAAAAGAAACACGTTCTCTTCTATGCGTTGTCCGCTTTACAAATCTAAATTGCCGATTAGAGGTGGAGTGTTAGCGTCACGTTTCGTCAATTACCTCGAAATCTGCCTTAAAAATCGACGAAAGAGTGAAGAGTAAGTAGTGGAGGTACTTGCCGCACTGTACTTCGTACGATTCTCCATTGTCTCGCGACAGAAAAAAAAAAGAAAAAAAAAAGAAAATAGGATAAGCTTCGTGGAAAACACAGGGATGCCGCTTGATTCGAATCTTTCGCCTGGAAAGAGAATTTTCACGTTCGAAATGATTCCCTAGATAAGAAACATATCGTTCTGAGCGCGTGTTCAAATTCGGAAGTTTCTTTGCGATTCTTGCCAAGTATATTTTAATGCCTACGAAGAAGAATCTGTCACGATATTTCTGAAATTTCTTAGTCTGATCGGAAAAGAATTTCAGTTTAGTAGCATCGCAGTGTTTTGCTTCTACTTAATTTGGAATAAATGTAATTGAAACCATGAATGCTGAGACTGCTTGTATTTATTTTTTCTACAATGTTAGCTAAACTTAGAAATCTCTGAGAGATCATTGTGGAAATTTCTAACAAGTGCTTAAAAAGAACTATATATATATATATATATATATATGAGCGTTTTTCCTCAAAAACGAAAAAAAGAAAAAAAAGAGAGAGAAGCAAACAGCGTTCTTTCATCTTCCGAGTTTATTCAGAATCGCTGGGAAATTCGTGTAGTTGTCATTAATTAATAAGTGTTAAAGTGTTACATGAAAAACTTATACTGAAAGGGTAGATTAGCAGAGACACGTACAATAAACGTCAATTATTTTCTTCCACAGTCAGAATAACGGGGGGGGGGGGGGGGGATGAAACTAGTTCGATCGATGTAGAGATCAAAAAGGGAAAAGAAGAAAGAGAAACCGGCTAATATTTAGAAGTGTCGTATTAAATAGATCTTTCGAATGTTCTACCTTCGCGAGTACGTCAATTTCAAGGTTTGAATTTTCCGTCATTTAAATGTTTCGAAACGTCCAGTTAATTGATAGTTAATGAATATTACGTATAACAGGATGTTCTTCCAATGGATGAAAGACAATAACGATATATAACTTTTGGAAAAAGTGCTTATCCAAAGCTGATTTTTAGCTTTCAATTAACGACACTGTATTTTTGCTAAACTAGTGCAAAATATAAGTTATGATTTAGATGATCATTTGATTATTGAAAAATATTTAATATTATTTAATTTTATTTAAAATCGAGTGTATATACACATATGTATATATAAGTACCTGTATATAATTCGATTATCATCGAATATTTTACTTTAATTTTATCATAGATTTAAGAATATCACTACAAAATATATTCTTTAGTTTCAATTGTTAAAAATTAAACTATCGTAAAGTATAACAATAACATTGACAATTGAGAGTAGAAATCAGCAAGATCTAAAAGACCTTCCTCTGTCTTCTTCATGTTTTACGATTCTTCGGCTGATTTAAGTTCAGATACAAATGGACAATAACTTTCATCGATGTTTAATCATTATTCCGTTCATTCACACCAAATCGAATTACACTTTATTCTCTTATCGTAGCATTGTTAAAATAATAAGGATAAATGAATTGTCTGTCCTGTGTAAGGATATTTCACACTGCGTTGATTTAACAATAACGTTAATATAATATAATTTGCAATGCGTAGCATATAGAAAGAATGGACAAGAGAATTGAAAGCCTCGTTAATGGACAAATTATTTTGAAAAATAATTCCATCGTTGTAACTGAAACTGCTTGTGTAATAAATATTTCGAGTACATGTTCTTTTTGTTTCCATTTTTTTGCTATTCGAACTATTTCTTTACTGAGCATTTTTGACGAAATGATTGGTAAAATGTAAAATACAACTTACTCCACAAATCAAACGTTTCGCGCAACTCGCGTGGAACTCTCGTTTGTTGTTTTTCACGTGAATCGATATCGCAAATCGATTTTCGATACCGATCGTAGCGATTTTTAGCGCGATATTAGAACGTGTTTCAACGCATGACATTTCAGAAATTAGTAAACATGTATTATTTAATTCAATTTATTATTTATTACCATTTAATTAGAGGCTGAACACTCGTTAACAATAAACGTAACATATAGTTTAGTTGAAATACAATTTTGAAGAGCTGGCCATCCTACGTGCACTGAATTCGAAATTGTATAACATTTATTTAATTTGCAATTTATTTTTAAAACGAAGAACGCGTACGTGCAATTAATTTTCTCACCGAACGAAAGGAAAAAAAAAGAGAGGAGGAAGACTTTAGAAAATACTTTCAATTCATTACTCTGTTATTTTATTTCGGGCATTTGCTTCGTTAGTGAAACTCGCCCCTTCGTACAGTATGTCAATACATTTCATTCTTATAAAGTTTAATAAACATCACGGGACGTGCGAGACTGGCAAATGTTACGCCACTGTCGCACACATCCAATCAGCTGTTTCTGTTTCGTTTCCCGCAGGTATCGTGCCCGTCAGATCATCGCCGATTTTGCGTCTGCTTTCGTTCTCGTACAAAAATTACACCTGTGGCGTAAGAATTGACAGTAACGACGAATTTTAATCGACACGCGTCGCACGTACCGCGTCGCAACGTAATTAACAAGAAAAGAAACGGTCTCTCGATGGAGAAGATCGCCGAGATGAACGTCTAACCTCACTTTTCAGCCGCTAGGTACATCGAGCAACCATGTAAATCGTTGAACGCACTCCAATGTATCATTCAAGCCGATCGCACGGCAGGAAAAGTTCATCGACGTTCCTCTCTGCGAGATATCGGGGCACATCGGGTCGTTATTCCCAAAGTGTCATCCTCGATGAAATTTCTCGCGGGATCTCATCGCCGCGACACTTTCGAAAGCCTGTAGTACCGGTGCTCGGTGTTGACGTTTCTGTCGGTTCGAACACGACACGATGACCGAGAAATCCAGGAAGATAGTGACCAGATTTCACCCGATTCACGGGGAGAATATCATGCTGAGAGAGGATAACACCGTGGCGTATCGCACAGCGAGTTTTGCAAATTCTCTTGCATTCAGCGAGAAGCCGCTGCAGCCAGGTGAAATATTCTTGGTGGAGATTGAGAAGACTGAGAGAGGATGGAGCGGGCACATGAGACTGGGCTTGACTCTCATAGATCCTGCCTCTGTAAACGACAGCCTGCCACAGTTCGCTATGCCTAATCTTGCTAAGCTGGGTAATACATGGATATTTGCCATTACCAAGAGTCACACCATATGGGACAGTTTCGAAGGCTACGGTGAGAGTTTGTAATATTGATTCGTATGGTTCATAATTCATGTTGACCAAGTTGACATTTATGTATGATTTAAGGCGAGGGGATACCATCTGGAGAGAAGAAATTGATCACAGATGGAGTAAATGTGCAAACATCTCGTGGAGTTATTCCATTTAATGCTCTCAGACCAAACACAATTGACTCTTCTCAGTACATCCTACCTACTGATGCTGGTAGTCGTATTGGGATTATGTACGTGCCACAAGCTGGTTCGGACAAGGCAGAAATGCATTTTATAATTAACGGCGAAGACCAAGGTGTATGTGGAAAAGACATACCATATAAGGCAGGACCTTTACGCGCTGTAGTGGATGTGTACGGTACCACGAAACAAGTCAGAATAGTTCAGCTATATGGCGGTGTGTTTCCTTTGTTTCTTAAGTACACACTGCCTTTATAGGAGTTCCGCTTTTCTTAGTAATTGTATTGTTTCAGCAGTATCTACTCTACAAAGTGCCTGCCGAGATGCTATACTACAGTATACTAAAAGGAACGCAGTTAATTTGCTTCCACTTCCACGGGTTCTAAAAGATTATCTGTTGTACCAATCGCAATGAAATTCACATGATTCCACCTTGTCTTTCAATCGTATCTCTCAGCTCGTTTGTATAGCCATTTCAATACTCGCATAATTTCATTGACAATTCAATTTTTCTACAACTTGCAATGCATTTATCACGTAAATTCATTCTAGTTTATTTTATTCTAAAACGGACGAATGAAACACAATAGCATGAATTTGAAATTGCTTTCATTCTTCTAGTTAGCTGTTAGTTCTCTCACTTTTCTAACGTGTATAATTTATCATGTATGTAGTACATGTACTTCGCGTGAATGCTAGGCTGTATCGTGTATGTATATAATGTAAGAAGTTGTTGACAAAGCACCGAGTAAATTCTGATAAGCGGAGGTGTATCTTGTTTTTTTCTAATTCTCGCATTTAGCACTTATTAGCGATTACACTTTGACTGTATCATTCGCTAGGATTATCCATACATTTCATGCCGCATGTAAATCTATATAAAATTTCATCTAAAGTAAGTTTCACTCGGGACTATCGAGGTATGTCGTTCTTTTTCTATTGTTACAAGTCATTGTATGTAACGAGGACATTGTAAGATGAACTTGATCTGTTAACAAACACTTGCACTGTTAACAAACGCAAAAAAAAAAAAAAAAAGAAAAGAAAGATTCAATTGACACAGTCAATTAAATCCAACATGTTTTTCAGAATAAATGTATTTATAAGAAACAAAAGGAAGAATCAAAGTTCTTTTTTAAAATATCCTGTTGAAATTTCCTTGATTCTTCTGCTGTACATTATAAAAATCTAGAGACTCGTGATTCAGTTATGCATTTTTGTTACGACCATTTTGATTTTAGCAAAGATACTTTTCATTTTTCTGTCTGCTCTTAATTTTTCAAATAGTCATATCGTATTTATGAATTGTGACCAAAATCAATTCACAGTGAGAACGACGAATATGATCAAAATACTGTATACCACACTTTTAATAACAAACTATAACACTCGAGGGCTTACATTACCATTAAAAAAAAAAGAAAAACGATTCAAAAGATTTTAAAAGAATTTTGCAAACCTACTTGTTGGTAAGAAAATAATTAGCATTATTGCATAAACGAACGAAACGCTTAAAAAGGCGAGCCATCCCATCAAAATAGAAGTGTACCTCCAAGTGGACTCCTTCTTATCGAGCGACACCAAATTCGTATTGTCATCCGCATTCATTTCAATTCTAGCCGATACCTTGGGGTCCAAAATACTCACTAAAAATATCTGACCTATTCTGCTCTTCAAAATCGAAACGGTGGTCAAGGTTATCCACGTGGGTGCTTCCGTGTTCAGTTGTTGCACGTATCGCAGAATGCTGGTCAGTATGAGTGAAAATGCAGCTAGAGAAAGAGATTTCTCATAGAAGAGAACTGAAAAGGAAAGAGTAATTTCTATCCAGGAGAATTTGTAAACCAAAGAGATTCAAACTGTACAACTGTCTCTTACGTTTCCAAAAAAAAAAAAAAAAGGCAGAATAATTACAAAGACTTACTTAATTGTGGAGGATGAATACCATTAAAGGGTAGTTTCCACTGTAGATCCAACAAGCAGAGCAGATGCAAGATAAAATTCATATTTGCCACCACCATACGTTCGGTGGAACTCGGCTCTAGCCACAGTGTCATCAGTGTCATCGTCATTAGCACTACACACGTTAATGCGAAATAACTTTTACGATGTATTTGTGACGAGATTCGTCTATCGTGAAATATAATACATATAACATTTTACGTACCTATGGCCGACGTCACGTACATTGTTGCATACATGGAGGCATGTCTCTTTAGAAGAATATTATACGATAATAAGTCGGTGGTAAAATCTAATCCGAATTTAGATTTTATTATACGTTCGCTCTCGGAGATATTTGCCACCTCCCATCCCAGATTTTCCTCCATCGAATTCTCTGCAAACTGACAATTATCGTATATACCTATAAGAACCCTTCAATTCGAATAATTCATCCATTGAAATGCCAAAGTAAACGATTTAAGATTACTGGACCCGTGCAAGAAGTCGGATCATGGAAACATCATGGTTTCATACATACCACGTTCGACGCATCGGTGAAGGAGGGACGTAAATTAATCTCGTCGCTCGCGTAAGACCATGAACCAATGTGGATGGTGCAATTCATCACGTCGTAAGGCCACCAAGTGTGATCCGACTCGCAGAACGTCGTGTACGTTGTCATCGGTACGCACCATACCGTACCTTCATAGTTCACCACGCAGTCGACTATCGGTATCTCAATGTTGACATCTGTATTTGTTCTGAAATATCAAGATCAGTGATAATTAAGGAATGAAACATTGTAAAATCTCAGTGTTGGATGCAAGAGGAGGGACCATGGTGGATTCTAGCTGAAGAATTTTTCAATTAGAGAATTCTTTTAGAGAACGATTGAATCTCTACAACGTTTGAGAGTTTTTACAGTTTTAAAATGAGACCAAAATGGAAATGTCACGTGATATTTTCTCATCTCGGGATCCTTCTTGTACACAGCAGTATAAATTGCGAATAAAATTCACGAGTCGAGTTATCCAGTGATGGTTTTTAACAAAGATTGTTAATAAATGTTGTTTTACGTGATACGCATGTTTTTTTTTTTTTTTTTTTTTTTT